GTTATATAGTTTTGCCCCTTTAATCAGATGAATCTACCAAAAAAAAAAAAAAAAAGTCCCCACCTTCGAGGGCGCCAGTGCTAAGATCGTCGCTGGTGTCGTCGTTGTCAATAGTTTTTTTTTAAAGAAACATTATACTGTAGGATGTCACTGGAAGGACATAAAGCCCCACCACTAACTAAAAAACCATTAAAAAAGAAGGGTAGCTGGGAGCTGTTTAAAGGCCTTTTATATACATTATTTATATAGTTTTGCTCCTTTAATCAGATGATTCTATAAAAAAAACGATTCCAACAATGGCTCAGAGGAGAAACCAATGTCAACGACTTGAATAAAACTATCTAAATGTCATCGTCCCATAGAATATATCTCCATAAGGGCCCGTGACCACAGTTCATTTGACAAGGTGACAAGTTGTGCATTTGTCTTTGCCTCCTGGTCCCTAGGCAAATAAATCCCGCAACGACTTTAACAAACGAATTAAGGTTTCTTAGGTTGCCAAAGGATGTATTTAAAGGAGCTAGTGTTTCGCATAAGTAAATCCGATCTTGAAAGCCAATCTTTTGCCACCAAAAGTGCACAATCTCCACTCATCGTAGAGGTGGGTTAACTTCTGATTGCTATAATAGCTTTTCAAACACAACCTGCATTCGAATCTTGACGCCCCAACTTCATTGTTTTTTGGTAGATTTATCTGATCAGAGAAGCAAAACTATATAACTATTATGAATTGAATAGATGGATGGCGGTGAGATCTTTTTGCACCAACCATTCTGTTTGTATAATTCTTTCCCAAATTTTCGCAGCATTTTATCACCTTCACATCGGGGCAGATCACAGGGAGACTTCCCGGGCGAAGTGGTGGAAGTACATTTTTTTTTGTGCCGGCTCAATAATCAAAATGCCGTACCTTGTATTCTATGACCCTGCAATTGTATTTTTATCTTTATGAGTCCATATCCGCCATAATTAGGCCGGGTATATATAGTTTTTCTTTTCTGATGCCTGCAAACGCGCATTTGATACCAGGCCTGTAACTCCTTTGAAGTCATACACTTGACAATGTCTGGATAAACTGGTTTTGAGAAGATAAACTGTACGGTTCCTTGTGCTCGTTTAATAAGGGCCAACAGAGAGTATCCCAATTGAAAGGCCTGGAATGGGAGATTTTTGATGGAATTCATCCAATCAACCGCTTTGAGAGGCTTTCCTAGATATACCGTATTATCAACATGAATGTATGCCTGCGGAAAAGGAAGAGTGTCTTGAGAAGGGTGTGGGAAATGCGGAGCAAAGCCTAAAAGTTCGGGTTTACACGCACTTAGAAAACTATTGCTGACTTTCTCGTAGTTTGAAACAATCGCTGCAGCTTTAGCATAATCTTCCTTATCATTAAGTAGATATCAACGTCATCCGGGAAAGCATGATTTGCATATTATGGAACACCACCTTTTCATGAACAACCAGAATACTTTCAAGCGTTACCAAATGATTTCAAAAGGTCTTCAATGCTAGATTGGATAAAATCGGGCTCAAAGTATTTCCCTGTCTCGTACCACACCGGATTGGGAAAGGAATCACCGCCACATCATTAGTGAAGAGTTGTGCGTCGTATTCTCGCATGATCAGCATCAAAACCTACTCATAGCAGTACCAATACCCATCTTTTTCAACACTGCCTCCATGTATTGGTGAGAATTTCGATCAGAAGCCTCCGTGAAATCAGCCATCAATACAGCTTGGTATTGCGAAGAATTTCGCAACCCACGTGATTTGGTCATGAGTTCTACCATGATAGGAGATTCCGTAGGATTCTGGTTGCTTCTTCTATCTTGAATAAAACCTCTTTGATATGGTCCCACGAGTAAAGCCATCTACTTTTGTAATCGTGTATATACCGCGTTAGACATGATCTTGAGGCTGATGTTCCATAGCAGAATGAGCCTTTGATCTTTTACGTCTTGTGAGTCATTGAACGCGCTCTTTGGGATTGAAACGATCAATGTTGTTTGATCCATCTGATTAAAGGGGCAAAACGATATAAATAGTATATATACAAAACCTTTGAACAGCTCCCAGCTACGTACCAAGTGTCTTAGCTCGGCCCGTCCCCTTCCGTTCGTCACGGCCTGGACGGTTTTCATGGCCCGTATCCGCTTACGTGGTTTTCTATTATATATCATTCATATAGTTTTGCCCCTTTAAACAGATGAATCTACCAAAAAAAAAAAACATCGACTCCTAGGATAGGTCTCTTGTAGTAGTCGCTTCAACTCAGATGGTTGTGGCGGACTTGAGGAGCCCACTCTTCATCAGCCCTCTCTTCAGCAGCTGGTTTAGGAACCCAACACACCCGGTTCTCATAGGTGACAGAATAGTCGTGAAGGTGTCCGCGCCGGCTCCACTTTGTCGTTGCACTGTCTGAAAGTATTCTGTCTGTTGGGTCAATTCTTCGTCAATTCCGTGATAGTTTAGTGGCTAGAATTACCGCTTGTCGCGCGGTAGACCGGGGTTCAATTCCCCGTCGCGGAGCTTTTTGCATAGTTTTTCCCAAACGAGCCCCGCGCAGCCTGCGGCACGGGTGTGCGCCCCAGTGCCCTGCGCACGGGCCTTATCAGGCGGAGAACGCTCTGGGTACTATTCCTGGGGAAACCAACGGACCACGTGAAACCAGCCGCCGCCCCCTGCAACAACATCACCGCTCGCTCCCAGCACCCTGCCCAGCACCATGAACCACACAGCCACGCACAGTACGTCGTTTCGCCCGCCCCGTGATTTCACCGGGACACGCCCCGCGGGCACGTGATTTCCCGTGACCTCCATACTAACGCAGCCCAGCAGAAGCCCATCTTCATCTCCACGACAAGCGCCACACACGCAGCCGGTTCAACTGGGTGCGCCGGCTCGTGCAAGGCCAGAACCGCGGCTTGCCCACTGGTATGCGCACGCCGCCCTACGAGCCCACGGCGGCTGCCGACGGCCGCCCCCAGATCCCCCATGCCGAGGACGGACAGGCCCGCAGATCGCCCAGAACCGCCGATTTTGCCAGCGACGACGAGTCCATGTCCGTGCATCTGGACAACCTCAGCACGACGCCGCTCAAGCTGATCACATCGCACACGCTGACGACGAACCCGCCGTCGGTTCTCAGCGCCGACAACCAGCAGCCGGACAGCGGGTCCATGGCGGCCCTGACGGCCGAAACGTCGCTCTCGCCGAGCACGCACGTGTCGCTTTCGCCCAGTGTCCGCGGGTACAACCGCGACCGCGAGGCCGCCGGGAATCGCGATAGCGAGTCCATCGTGACTTTGGCCAGCTCCACCCGCCGCGTGCGGCGCCGCAGCATCGACACCAATTGCAGCATGGCGGGCATTCCGCCGGCCAGTATCATGGAGCGTCTTTCGGGGGTACCGGCGTGTGCAGGCGACGGCCAGGAGGCCGAGACTAGATAGAGGTGGGCCGAGGAGACGGCGTAGGGGAGCCGTGTATACAGTAGTAATGAATTAACGTGTTTTCGGAAGTGTCTGGGGTGTCTGGGGTGTCTGGGGTGTCTGGGACTTGTGCGAGGGAACCAGGCGGAACTGGAGGAGATGGCACTTGTGACGATCAATGAATGAGACAAAGAGGCGGAATCAGAATACGCTGGAAAAAGAGACAGGGGGACGGAGCCAGTGGTTTTGTGCTGGGGAACGAAGAGGTGGAAGTGAGGTGACCCATATGTGGAGAGGAATGAGACGGGGCAACGGGTCTATATGGTGGAGCCAATTTGTATTGGAGAGTGAGACGAGACGTGGGAATGGACATATGAACAATAGATATTGGAGAACAAGATGCAAGATAAGATTGTTAGGTGGCATCAGCTTGGAGTTGACATTGATGCGATGCTGTAGGCTCACATAGGACAATTTACGGCAAAACATGGCAGAAGTATCACAAACTTTCCACTAAACACGACTTCAAATGAATCTAGACACACAAATTCCTATTACACCCATACTGCTTGGGCGTGCGTACCTCTCTAGGTCCAGGCAGTAAGAGGTGCTCTCCACTCAAGATGGAGCAAGGATATACTATCAAGTCAGAATCATGTCTCTCTCGAAATGGTCAAAATCATGCCCCCACATTTTTCAAGAGGGTAGCAAGAGAAGGCGACAATTCAAGAAATGACAAGAAAGAGGCTGATTTGGCGGTTCCTAAAGGTCATCAAAGTATGAAAAAAGGGGGCTGTTCACATGTGATCTCTAGGCTACGACAGCCCCAAGGTCCTCAAGTTGTGGATCCGCAGAACATTCTGCAGAATCGAGCTGATAGTTTCCATACTTTTGAAGGACACACCAAAACCCCAACGCCACATGTAGGTCCTATAAAATTCTCAATAGAACCATCAAACAACATCAACAAAACCGATTGAGCTTGAAATCATGAGCTTCTAGAAATAAGAATACTGGATTTTGCCTGTGGTCAAACATGGCCCATATTTTCCTGAAGTGTATTGGAATGGTACAATGGCCAGTAGATTGCGCAGTGTGATCAGATCTCACATAAAGGCCATACGAAAATTGGAGCCAATCCAACATTGATTAGCGGCTTGTCCAAATAACATTTCATTGACTTGTTAAACACAAATGTGTGCTTGCTTTGGAGGCTGAACAAGAGTGATCCAGCTAAATCTGTAATTGTGACAGTAGTTTGAAACCCCGTATAAGGTATTTTTCAACTGAGATTTGAAACAGGTTTGGCAATCAAATTTCTGGTCACTCGTTGACGATCATTCTTCAGTTTGAAAACACAGAAAGAAAGCTGAACGGAAACGTCACGTGGCCACCAAAATCAAACTTGGATTTCCAAACTGCGAGGGTGAAAACTCGTCCAAATCTTCAAACCGTGGTCAGTTTTATGAAAACAGAACCCCGAAATGTACGACAGTTGTTTTACAGTCCACTGAGAAAAATGTGCATAAACTCAATCGATACACATGAACAAAATTCGAAAAATAGACAAGTTGTACTTTTTGACTCCCTGTCTTCGTATATTCTATTCTATTCCTGCCTCGCCCGAGTCTCGAGGATCGCCTTGAATATTTTGAGGCGGTTCCTGCCTGTGCGATCAGGTGACAATTACGCCTGCATGAGACTGCAGCAAACACATTTCCTTGGCCAATAAATGGAAATTTGGACATATGTTTCAGTTTGATTTTACTTGAATGACTTCTCGCATAAAACATTATGATGAAGATTGTTGGAATCCCGGTGAAAACGTAGGGAATGTGGGTTTGACGGTGGCAATGATGCAATACCTTGGCACTAAAATCTGCGGTTGAAGCGCTGTGCATATGGCTCTGAATTTCACACTGATCAGAGATGGCATCTCGAGGGATTCCACAATATCTTCTCGTATGTTGAAGCAAAACCTGAGTCAGAACTGTTAAGGTGCTAAAGGGCTTATCAGTCAGCAGATTGATTTTTCCCACAGAAGAAGATAATGTGCCTTGGCTAACTCTTCAAAAAATCTAACGATACAATTTTTCCCGAGAAAACGCTTTAAACATTGCCTTATTTATTATCCTTTCCGATCCCGCGAGATCACAGAAGAAAGCTCTGTTGAAAGAGCGCCAAAACAATTGATTCTAATCCAATAAGGAAAGAAGACCCACCCGAGCCTTCCGAGACAAAGATTACGAGCCCTGGAAAAGTAAATAACCACCAAGAATTTGAACTTGCTCGCAAGAACGAGAATTCAAGAAAACAATACCTTCATTAGATGGAATCTTGCAGATCCAGCTTAAGAAATTACTCTTTTATTTTTGTATTACTCATTTCAGGATGGTGTAGGCGTTCTTTTGCCGTTGGTCATAGGGACAACAACTACCCTCAAAGGTTTGGATGGTAGAAATTCCAAACCAGAATTTTGACTCACTCGAGCACTGTTCAAGCCCACAGCCGAATACCTACTGGGAATTTGGAAATATATGAATGAAGAACTTACGCGACTCACAAAACACGCTCGAATTAGCTCCTTCATATTATGGGCTCTTTTGACTAACGCGAGTTTGGTCCGCAGTGCTCGGAACTGGATCGCCATCTCTTAGCTCAAAGTGCAGGCATCTCAGATGATTCCGGCACATCACCTGTAGCTAAGATTGCGCTTAGTTTCTTGCGGTCGCGGGTAAAATCTCGGCACTTTGGCAGAGGTTAATTTCTAAAGTCGCCCAACTAGGAGCAAAACTATATTTCCAGGCAAAAATTGTATAAGGAAATTTTCAGTCTGGTCGGAAGAATATTAAGCCCGATGAACTTTCTCCACTAAGTAAATTTACAGCTTCGCGTGGTATTCTATGGGATGTATATAGTAGATGGCATTTTTCTGAGCACACCAAAACCACAAGTCGGCCAAACCTAAAAGAAGAAAGACAATTGAATGAAGACCGCGAACGAGCCGGCTCGGTGACCTCCCAAAAACATTAACGCGTATGTTCGGACAGAGAGCACATGGCCAATACCGGAATAATGGTTTACATATCTTTTCCAAACAATAGCGAGGTTCCCAGATCCGACTGCGGTAAATGCTGAGTAATTCAAAATCCCAGTACTTTCTGTTTTGAGATCACAAGGGACATGGGCAAGATCATACCTTCCGCTTTTGGTTGCTTGCAGGAGGTTGCGCGTCGGGCGCAGATCGGGCGAGAAAACCGCGATGTCCCGCCGCTCGCGACTGCACACAGACCCATGTCTGCACAAGGATGGAAGCTACTGCACGTGGGGTAGAAGACAACATATACCGGCCATGGTATTCTCGGCCCGATTGACCAATCTGCGAAAGACGAGCATCAGAACGCGTAGAAAAAGACCATACACCCCAAATCGGTTTCACAGCCTAGAAATGGAATTTCTGAAAGGGATAGAGAACATACTGACTGCTGGTGTCAACAACTGGGGATGAAAACAAGGTTTGGTTGTTGGTCAGGAAAAGCAATCCTCGATCCTGCAAACTGTAAAAAGAGGCCGTTATATGATATTGCAAGCGGAACTCTATTCAGAAGGGTTTTCCGACTCCTCATCGAGCGCGAAATGTAGGCCTAACAAGTCCGACACACTCACGAAACTTTTACCGATGGAATCCGGCATAAAAATGTAGAAGGTGTGATGGGCATGATCACCCTGCAAGTCGTATTTGCTACGGAGCGTTGGGTGCCTAGAGTTGAGTGTGTGGGTGCCACTCGAAAGATCGCTGAAACTCTATATCCCTCCATGAGCGGCTAATTTGCCGACGAGGTGCGTCGAGAAGCATGCAGGCACACAGCCTGCCGAATGCTGTAGACGCATGCAATTGTTGGGATGGCCCTTTGCTCATGAGAAAAATCAGCTCATAACAAGAGACAGGTCACGGCTTCAGACAAGTGGGAATATTGCGAAATAGAGAACTTCAAATATTCCTTGTGTATTGCTGATACCCAACACTACCCCCTCAACCGTACCTTCTTTCCCCACAATAATAATTATGAAAAAAATATTATTTGCCCCACATTCTTCCCCACCCTTAGTGCTTTGTCTGCAAGTGCTCCATAGAGATAAGGTTTCTCTCCTGTATGCCCGTGCGACACGAGCAAGGAGGCTGGCGCGCGTCCTGTGCAGGCCCGCTCTGCGGCGGAAACGGAGGCCATCCTTATATAGCCCCTGGCCCTCGAGCGGTAAATTGGTTGCGGTTTTTCTCAGACGTTTCTTCTTTTCAGTTCCCCTTGGAAATTCACACCAAAGTGTTTTGCCACCTTTGATAGTGTCATCACGGAAGCGCCCTGCAGCCTGACTTGGCCTGGTTCCGTTTTTTTTGTACTTTTATTTTATGGATTGCTTCCTATCCTTTTCTTCTTTTGTGCCCTTCTGAGCTTTCTAAGCGAACACCACCACACCACACAAACACACACGGAATGTCCACATTGACACTTTCCGTGGAGAGTTTCTTCAAGCCCGAGCTGGCTTCTTCGGTGCCTTCTTTGACGGCTGGATCCGCATCCAAAAAGCCAGCTCCGGCGGCTAAAAAAACACGCCTGGCCCCTGAGTTGGTGGCACGTGACCCCACATCCTTGCCGGGCGGGTTCCTGGCGCCAGTTCCGGCAATATCAGTCCAGGAGCCAGGGGCTCAACCCGGGGCCTGTTTGCACGAGTCACGTGCCCATGATGACTCAGGGGCTGCTGTTCTGTGGACCGGCGCCGGCGCCGGGATTGCCGCCGATTCCGGCATGGCCCCAAAAGACACAGTCTTGGAACACGTGCCGCCGCTTTTGCAGCGCCACAGCGCGCCCAAGTTTGTCGACATCCCGCTGGTGATCCAGGCGTTGCCGGCGCTTCCTTCGGCGCCCGTAGCCGCGGCCAAGACAGCAGGCCTTACGATGAATAGACCCGCGGCTAGCGGCAAGGAGAACCCCTTTGTGAGTCAGCATGGTTTCAGCATGGACGCGTCTGCTCCGGCCTTGCGCAAGTTGAAGCTGTCGTTGAAACTTCCCAAGTTGACCAAGCTGCAGTCCATGTCGCAGCTTTCGCCGAAGTCGGTGCGCTTTGCCTCGCGCCTCGAGAAGGTCAAGATGTTTGACGGCATGGCCTCGCCGTCGACGGTGTCCCTCCAATGCACGCCGGCCGGGTCGCCGAAATACGGTTTTCTGCATGAGGACTACTTCTCCGTCCACAATCATTTCAACGATATATCAGATGACGAGACTTACTCCAGCTCTGACTCCGACACTTACGCCGAGTTCACTCTGGACAGACAATACAAGATCGCCAAAAGCAACTTTACGGCGCCGCCCAACATATACGCCAGGCGCGGCTCTGCGGTGTATCTCCAGAGCGTATCCCTTGCTGCTGACAAGCAGCTGCTTGAGCTTCTCGTGATGTGCCAGAACTTGGCGTTCGAAAAGAATTTGCTGGTCAAACTCACATTCAACGACTGGCAGAGCCTGATGATCTACACCTCGGCCGCCTACTGCAAACTGTTTTCCTCGGTGAACTACGACCAGTTCAAGTTCACAATCCCCCTCAAGCACCTTCCCTCCCCCCTCTCGGCACAGTTCTGCATCAAGTACGTTGTGAATAACTCGACATTCTGGGACAATAATGACACAAACAACTACAGACTTTCGCTTGAGAAGTGCGCCCGGCCGGCAGTTGCCAAGGAGATGTTCAGTTTCAAGCCTTCGGCAGTGAAGGACAGCTTCACATACAAGCCCCCCACGTTTTCGCCAAAGAGCTCGGTTGTGCTGGGATCAGCCATTTTCGCAACGCAAGCAAACGATGAGGCGCCTGCCAACGTACCGAAGTCGGGCCCTGGCGTGTCACACTACAACGAACTCGTGAACAAATTGATGTCTGTCAAAGACTCGAATGATACGCCCAAGTACACCCGCTCGCTCGCCCTGTCGCCCAGACCTAGATATTCCCAATCCTACATGGCCAAGAGAGGCTCGGATACAAACATTCCAACTTTGCTGCTGGGAAAGAAGCCTTCAAGCGAGCCCCTGGCGCTTGAGGGACCAAGCACTGGAAAAACAGTTGCGGCACTGGTAGACAAGCGCTTGGAAGAGAGAACTGACGGGCCAGCGGGTGGCAGCAGACCGGCTCTGCTGCGTTCGCATGGATCTGTGCCTGCGACTCTCTCGAGCACAAACATCGGCGCTATGTCATATGCGGACTTGCTACAAAACTACTGTTTCAATGGTGCCAACGCCAAGGCGCCGGGCGCAAACCACATGGGCTCCTTCAACAGCTCGTGTAACAGCTCGAGCAACTCGCTCAGCTCCGACTACACGACTCTCGCGTCCACCTTGCATTCAGTAAACGACTCATTTTTCGTGTGAGCAGATCCTGCCCGTTGGACACGAGCAGGACAATTATAGATTCCCCCAGCGCTGCTTGGATGGTGACTTCCGCGATACAAACATGAAGCCCGCGTTTCGCTTCTTAGGATTTGAGATTTAAATACACACATTTTGATACTTCCACTACCGAAAACAATGCAGTATTGTAGAGGTGTCAGACTGAAGTTGTCTTTTCTTATCGGATTTTCGGGAGTGTGCACACGCTCTATGCTGGTTGGGAGCATTGGGTCCAAATTCCGCACTATCGCAAGTACGAGACCCGCGGTCTGGGGCCGCGGTCTTGGAACTCAAATTGTCCAATCGACTTCTACAGGTTTTCTCTCTACCCAACTTCTGCCACTTGAGCTCGAAGACAACGGAAAGAAAGGAAAGAACGGCAGCAGATTAAAAGAAACTGCTTATACAAAAAAAAAAAAAGAAACGCAACAAAGGAAATCTGCAAATGTCTTTCGGAGAAAAAGCAGCAGTGCGCTTGGCCAACAAGATCGTGTTGATCACCGGGGCCTCGGCTGGAATTGGCGCCGCCACTGCCCATGAATTCGCGTCGGCGGCTAACGGCCACATCAAGTTGATTTTGACTGCACGGAGAGAGAGCCGCTTGGCAGAATTGGCGGATGAATTGACCAAGGCATATGCGCCCATCAAGGTGTACACGGCCAAATTGGACGTCAGCGACACGGCCTCCATCAAGCCGTTCGTGGCCAGCTTGCCTGCGGAGTTTGCAGACATTGATATCTTGATCAACAATGCCGGAAAGGCGTTGGGAAGAGAGACTGTGGGCGACATTGATACCGACGACGTGGCCGGCATGATGCAGACCAACGTGGTGGGATTGATCAACATGACGCAGGCAGTGTTGCCCATTTTCAAGCGGAAAAACGCCGGCGACATTGTGAACATCGGCTCCATTGCTGGCAGGGAACCTTACCCGGGTGGAAGTGTGTACTGTGCCACCAAAGCTGCGGTCAACTTCTTCACCCATTCGTTGAGAAAAGAGTTGATCAACACCAAGATCCGGGTCTTGGAGGTCGATCCAGGTGCAGTTGAGACCGAGTTCAGTGTTGTTCGTTTCCGTGGCGACAAGGCTGCAGCAGATAAGGTGTATGAGGGCACGGAGCCTTTGATTGCGCAGGACATTGCCGAGGTGATTGTGTTTGGCGTCTCGCGGAGACAAAACACCGTCATTGCCGAAACGTTGGTGTTTCCAAGCAACCAGGCTGGCTCGGCTCACATCCACAGAAACACGTGATTGGGGGAGATGGCTACAGGCAGATGATATTCTTGGTAGGCGGCCGTCATTACTTTCTGTTGGCTCGGTGATATCCCAGTCTTGAGAAATGGCGGTTGAAGCAACAGCAGAACTGGCCGTTGAAAGAGAGGCAGTTCATGCTGTGCCAATGACCAGCGCGCCGATACAAACAATGTTTAATCCTAGCATGATTTGTAATCCTAGCATGATGTTCAATCCTAGCATGATCCTAGTATGATGTTCGGTCTTAGCATGATGTGTAAACCTAGCATCAATCCTAAAACGATGTTCAACCCTAGCATGGTGTTCAATTCCAACATGATGTTTAATGCTAGCATGAGGTTTAATGCTAGCATGAGGTTCAATCCAACTCCTAGACGCTCGCCCTGATCATCTCTTTCAAAAAGGACACATTTCGGACAGCATTAGAAACTGAGCTGCTCTAGCGTCTTTCCGAGCTTGGCTGCCCCATCCACACTGCTTTCGATCGACACCTTTGCCCTATTCATCTCTAAGCCGGCCAAAAGAATACACGCCTTGCATATCCGGTTGGAGGTAATGTAGCCGCATTTTTCGCATGTATTGCCGTCGTTGGTCTTGGCCCGGCCCAAGCTTACAGACCCGTCTGGATTGATCTGCTGCTCCTGATCGACAGCAAGCTTCTTTTCATTCCCCAGGGGTTCGTCCACATCCCCGGACTGCATCTTTGTCTGTGCTTTTGTTTTCCCGCCGTTCTTGTATTTCTTGGTGACCTTTTTCTTTTTGGAGAGAACAAGATGCTCGCCGCTATAAATAATGTCCATGATGCATGAGGGGCGTATGGCGCCCAACCCTTTGAGAAGCTCTCTGGCCGTGCCTCGGAAAGCCTCGGGCGCGTACGTGCATTCCGTCGAAAAATAGTCCAATTTTTTGTAGTGGGCATAAAGCACGATTTCCTTCTGGTACATGTACTTGAAGGGCTTTGACCTTTTGATAGGCGAGCCGGCAGATTGCGTGAGAATGGTGCATGAGCTCTCCAATCTTGCAGTGTCGCCTCGTAAAATATTCATGAGCACCGTCTCTGCCATGTCGTCTGCATTATGTCCCGTGACCACATGATGTATGCCAAGCTTCGCGGCACCTCTATCGAGCGCCTGGCGTCTCAAGACGCCGCAGTACGTGCAGCTGCTTCGAATGCCGGCGCACGACACGATTTCATCCATCAGCCAGTTGTAAAGCTCTTTATACGAGACGATCTCAAGGTCCATATCATACTGCTGTTGGTTTCTTTTCACGGTGGCGAGCGAATCGTCCCGGTAACCTTTGATGCCCTCGTCGATCGACAAAAGCACCAATCTCAAGCCATAGTTATAACGCTCATTTAATGTTTTCAATATAGACGCTAGTACTGTGGAGTCCTTACCTCCGGAGGCGCCGATGGCCACTGCCTCTCCTGGATAAAAGAGCTTGGCAGCCGTGATGGTATTGTGAATCTCGGTTTCGAAGACCAAGAAAAAACACTCTTTGCAAAGTTTCTGGAGGTTTTTAGGTCTTTTCATCACGGCTTTTCTGCCGTGGCAAAGCTGGCAGAGAGCCGAGACTTTTAGTTTGCGATCTTTCTTAGCAACCTTTGTGTTTTCCATGACTAGGCTGGTGTAGGATGGAGATATCTTGTGAGCCTCGAGACGAACAAGAGATGGGATCCGGCACACAGCGAAACGTTCTGCCGGAGGCGCATGCGGGGGAAACACCAGTCTTTGTTTATTTTCGAATTTATCTTATTACTATGATCGATTTGTTACATCGGGTCGTATTATACACGGATCGCCTTTGGAGCCTGTCACTGTGCAAGGAATCGACCCATGCTCCATGCTGTACCAGAAAAGAAACTGATGATGTTTTAACTTTGCGCGCTGCTCAGACCTGGAACTCATCGTTGTGGGTGCTGACGTTAGCGTATCTGAATCTACTGTTTTCTTCTTGCAAACTCTCCTTCTGCTCCTTCTGCTCCTTCTGCTGCTGCTGGTGCTGCTGAATAGCCTGTTTTTTCCCGTAACCGTTCGACGCAGTCATTTCATTTTTCTCGTTCAACAGGCCAACCTTTTCGTTCATTATGATGGCCAATTCTTGCAACTTGCTTCTTTGCGGCTCGTCGGTGGCGAAGTTGATGAACGCGTTTTCGAGAGAGCCCTTGACCTCGCCCTTTGCGAGCATCTTCTCGACGATCTCGGTGACAGTGTCCTTGTCGAGCTGGAACGTCGTGGCCAACTTCTCGATGGACAACTTGGCGAAGATGGCCTTGTATGTGAAGATGTAAGTTCTCAAGCCCTCGATCTGCAACTGCCTTTTCAACATGGACAACAACAGGTCCGTGTCCGTGAGCAACTTCCAGATCTTGATGGAGGCCAACAACTCGTATGCCTTGGCCCAGTTGCCCTTCTGCAACAGCTTCGAGGCGTAGATCAAGTGGTCCTTGATGCTCTCAGGGGGGCCTGTGAAGAACTGTCTGTCGTGGAACTCCAACTTGCTCTTGAACGACTTGATGGTGGTCTTGCGCTTGGAGTCCTTGACGGCGGTGGTGGCGGCGGCCAAAGCCGGGATCTCGATCAACATGGAGGAGGTCATGAAGACACACTCGACCAACTCCAAGTTGATGTGCATGTGGAACGGCAACAACTTCTGCTTTTCGGCGACGGTGGCCTGGCTGGGGTACTTGCTGTTGAAGCCCTGGCCCAAGAGCTCCTTGAGTCTCTGGGAGTTGATGATCTCGTTTAGTATCTGGTGGGACTCCTCGACCCGGCCGTTTTTGAAAGCGCTCAAGCCCATCTGGACGATGGCCCTGTTGTACAAGACCTGCACGGGGGCCTCTGCCTGGTAGATGTGGTTGTAGATCTGGGAGTCCAAGAACTTCAGTCTGGCCTCGGCGTAGCGGCCGTTGACGGCCAAGTAGTAGGTGGAGGCCAACAAGGCGGAGCGGCGGTAGACGGCGCCTTGCTGCAGGGCCAAGAAGTCAGCCAAGGCACGCACGGTGTCCTCCGGGGCGTTGCCCTTTGTGAGCAACGGCGAGCCCGCGAGCGCCGGGGCGGCCCAGGAGGAGCCCCAGGCCGCGGCCTCGTTGACGGCGATCAACAGGTCGGGCTTGTAGTAGATGTGGTCCAAGCGGCGGAGCACGAGGCGGGCCAAGTGCTCGGAGGGCCCTGCGGTGGCCTGCACGTAGACCTGGGCCCGCACGATCAAGGTGTAGAGCAGGGCCTCGTCGCGCAAGCGGGCCATGTACTCGGAGGAGTGCGGGTCGGTGAACTGCAAGCACTTGGCGAACTCGTCGTCGAGGCGCTCGACGAGCGCGGCGATGGAGCCGAGCACCACGCGCACGCCCGCGGCGTTGGGCGCGGGCTCGATGTCCAAGTCGTCGGTCACGGCGCCCAGCTCGGAGACCTGGTAGCGCGCCAGGTGCTGCTCCAAGAGCGCCAAGAACGCGTCCGCGTCGCGCTCGTTGTGCTTCCACAAGTCCACGGGCATGTGCGACTGGTGCGCGCCCGCGTCGAAGCGCACGGCAAGCAACATCTGGAACACGGCGATGGTCTCGAACACGGAGCCGGCGGCCGAGGCGTCCGCCAAGAGCCGCTCCACGGAGGCCACGAGCGCGAGGCGGTCCGCGTTCTTGCGGCCGCGCGCGTCCGCCACCTGCTTCAACGCCACAAACACCGGGCTCACGTCGCGCGCGGTGCCGCTGACGGTGCCCACCACGGGCCCCGCGGCCGCGGGCTCGGCCGCAGCCACCTCCACCGGCTCGTCCGCGTCAAACAACGCCGGCTGCTCGCGGAACAACGCCATGTGCGCCGCGCTCTCCTTGGCCTGCTTGCGCACGCGCTGCCTGAGGTTGTTGAACGCGCGGCTCTGGTCCGCGGGCATGCGCTTGCGCTCCTTGTCCGCGGCCGCGTCCGCAATGGACCCGTCCAACTGCGCCAACATCTTGTAGAAGCAGTTGGGCACGGCCATCTGCTGCTGGCGCACGCGTACCGCCAACTTGCCCACGCGCTCGAACTCCGTGAGCGCGTGCGCCCAGTTCTGCAAGTTCTGCGCGTTGTAGATGGCGTCCACGGCCTCGGTCACGTCTGCAGCCAACTTCTCCTTGGCGGACTTGACCACACGCGGGCCCTCGTCGTCCAGGTCCAGGTCCAGGTTGGCGCCGGAGCCCTTGAGAAAGTCCTTCTTCAAGAAATACGCGGGGCCTTTGCCCACGTAGTCCGAGTCGTCGTCGTCGGAGGACGGCTCGTCGGCGGCAAACTCGCTGTCGGTGGAGAAGTCCTCGGACGTCGCCATTTCTTCGTCGGAGCTGGTCAACAAGTCCTCCTCGGACAGCGAGGAGTCGGCCGTGTACCCGGAGGCGAAAAATCTCGACATGGTGTGGGGATTTCGGGGGTACTGGAGTAGGAGGGGGGGGCTTTAGGGCGGGTTGTGGAGCGAGCAAAATTTTCAGTGCGCGGCGGGCCGGTGCGCGCACGCCCGGCCAGGGCCTGGGTGGGGGGTGAGTTTTGGCGGGCCTGGCGGACGGGTTTTTGGCGGGGGCGGCGTGTGGCTTGGCTGGTGGAGTTTGGGGGGGACGGGTTGGGGATTTTGTTCAATTTTTTTTTTTGGGAGGGGATGGGGGATGGTGGAGATGGGGGGATGGTGGGGGGATGGTTAGTGTTTTGGGGCCTGGCTGTATAGCCGGTGGCCCTAATGGAGTGCGAGGTGCGGCGCGGAAGACGGCCCTGGGCCGGTGCAGGGGAGGGCATGGAGAAACGCTGATGAACTTTGGGATGGAGGCTGTGGGGAAGTTGTTGGGGAAGTTGTTGGGGGAAGCGGTTAAATTGAAGGGCTTGCAATAAGAATTGGATCTTCAAATAGACGCTTTTATAGCGGTTGTTGGGGGTGGAAATGGGGCTGGATGGGGCTGGTATATTGGGATGGAATGCGGTGGATGGGCAGGTGAGGCAAAGTCGGATAGAAATAAACGCTGGTTTATAAATAGCTGTTGATGAAGACTTTTATTCAAAGCTGTTGATAAAAGCTGTTAATAAACGCTGTTAATGAAGGCTCTTGATAAAAGCTGTTGAATATGGCTGTTGATAAAAGCTGTTGAATATGGCTGTTAATAAAATCTGTTAATAAAGACTGTTGATAAAATCTGTTAATAAAGACTGTTAATAAAAACAGTGGATAAAAGCTGTTGATAAAAGCGGTTAATAAAAGCGGTTAATAAAAGCGGTTGACAAAAGCTGTTAATTAAGGCTGTTAAATACAGCTCTTGAAATTAATATCGGGGCTCTAAAATTGATGCTTTCATACTGGTTGAAACTGGGGGTGGATGAGGCTAGGTGGGACTGATAAATTCGGGTGGAATGGGATCGATGGGGCTAGCAAATCAAAATTAGATTAAAGCTGTTGAGTGAAAGCTGATTAATAAATTGGGGCTTTTCGGTGAAAGCTGTTGTGTAAAAGGTTTTGAAATAAAATCCGAGTTAAAATTGGGGGTGTGAAGGGATGGGTGGGCCTGGTAAATAGAAGAAAAATGAAAGCTGTTCCAAGAAAGCTTTTGATTAAAAGCTCTTGAGATTATAATTCAAGCTGTTAAAATGAAGGCTTTTATACCGGGGGTTGAAATTGAGAATGGAATTGGGGCTAAATGTGATGTCGTTGAATTGGGACGGAATGAGGCTGGAATAAGGCTGTTGGAATTACGGCTGTTGGAATAAATGTGTTGGAATAAAGCAGTCGAAATAAGAAGCTGTCAAAATGAAATGAAAAGCTGTCAACACAAAAAGGTCTCAAAATAGATGATTTTATACCGGGGGAAGCAGTTGGCAAAGGAATTGAGGTTGACCAAAAAGTTGAAAGTTGGAGAGACACTTGGAACGGCTTCAAATCGTTTGGCGCCTTCGGATGAGGATGTTAAGGTCTTTTGTTTATTTTCTTCTTCTAGTTTTTGAAATTGACCGTGGTTCTGCTTTTTGGCTCAATCAATTAGAGTCGCGACAAAACAAAAGACCCAAAGAGACTAGCTCCGCATTGTAGGGACTACTACACTGAGATCTTGGGGCTATAAACGGGGTTTTGTAATTGGCTGTTATATTTGGGGTTGTTGGATTGTAAATTAGAACCGGTTAGAATCAGGGCTGTTGTGATTGAAGCTGTTATAATTCAGGCTGTCAAAATTTAAGTTGTTATAACTGGAAATGTTGAATTGGGGGCGGTTGGAACAGGGGCTGTTGATTAAGGCTGTTGAAACGCGGGCTGTTTATATTTAGATTTGTTCAATCATTGCTGGTAAACTTATGGCTGTTGAGATATAAGCTGCCAGAATTAGAGTTTATAGAATGAGGTGCAATTTTTGAATCCTTCCTGATATTGGATAGTGGGACTGTTTCAATTGTCAGTGCTCGTCCTGGATTATCTCATTTCAATGGATCAATCAATACCTCTAGTCGTCATGCTCGTTGAGACAAGATGAGATACTAAGAATATGCGGAGAAAGGTGAGGGAGCCCCCTCTAAGCTTCTATGACTTTCCGAGATTTTTGAAGTTTTTGAAATGATCAGAATATCGCATCTGCCATCAGCCGTTTTTCTTTCTTTTTATGCCATCTAGCCGAGGATGTGAATATAGATCTCGATCGCGGCCATGCTGCAGTGAGGGATGGTATAATACTGATAAGCAAAGAAATAGCTGTTTTTAAACATCTGGAACCCTCGAAAATTACGGTCTTTTGTGAATTCTCTGTTTACTCCTCTGATAAATTTATGGAATTAGCGAAGTGTCTGTTTTGATTCTATTAGCCGACTTGATTTCTCGGACTGGATCGCGCCAGAATAAAGAATTTCACCTTTCACGAGTATGTTTTTGACACTGCAAGCCTTGAAGTGATTTCTTTGGTGAATTCACCTGATCAAAAGAGCAAACCAATACAATAATTTATATTAAAGGCCTTCTTACTGTGACTATTAATCCACTGAACTCTGTCATTGTACACATTCTAGTTATTTTAATTCACCCCCCTGGCTGGGCTTTGTATTGGTACTATCGAGAATTTCTGTGAAACATGGAAAATGAATCGAGAAGTTGGTGAATTGCCTTTTATTTGGGCGGAAAGTAGTTTCACCAAATGTTTTTGTTAAAGAAACATAATATTATAGGGTGTCACTCGAGTGATGGAAATTCCACAACTAACAAAAACTAAAAAAAACCTGAAATTTATCGCAACATTGGCTCAGGTGAGAAGGCACGAATACCAATTCACGAAATCTCCCAAAAAAATGTAAGACCCGTCAAAAAGACTTCTGTCCATATTCAATGCCAGCCACTTGTATAAAATTAACTAAATGTCGTCACCCATAAAATATGTTTTCCTTAGGCCTGTCAGCATAGTTCGTTTGATAAGGCGGCAAGACATAAATTGTTTTTGCCTCAGGGTCCCGAAGCAAATGAACCCTGTGAGCAACTTAAAAACCAATTAGGTTTTTCGTATTGTCAAAGGAAGTATTTAAATACACTATCATCTTCCCTAAGAGTATTGGAGCTTGAAATACGATCTCTTAACGCCAGAATGCACAATCTCACAGGTGAGTTGACTTCCTGTGCAGCGTTTCAACCACAACCTACATTAGAATCGTGAGACCCAAATTTCTCATCATGGCAGGGAACATAGGAGCCGTGACTAAATAGATGAATGACGGTGAGAACCTTTTGCACCAACCATTAAAAATTCTTGTTTGTAAAAGAAATGTATCTCTCTCTCTAAAATTTTGTCGAGTTTTTTTTTTTCGAGCGTTTCATCGCGTCCACTTTGGGAGAAAAATTTTGTGTGAGTGAAAATTCTGTTGGTATCAATATGAAATTACTCGATTATGAATTATTTGACTTCCTTACCGAGCTCCAAGAATCTTTCAAATTTGCATTAATTGTTTTATCTTGTCTTAAGTCCCATTAAAGGGCGTGTGGCGCAGTTGGTAGCGCGTTCCCTTAGCATGGGAAAGGTCTCCGGTTCAAATCCGGACTCGTCCAATCTTTTTGTACAATTCGAAGAGTTTTGAGAATAGTTTTTCATCTTTGTTTTTTATTTTGATTATGTCAAATGCGTCCAGATGGAGACAAAGGGTTGTTAATACCTCAACCTGTGCACTAGGTTCATATGGGACATTTAAAAAATGATTCAGAAATACACAAGATGACGATGCACCAACCTTGCCGATGTAGTATATTTTCAGTCGCTTGATTCCCACTGGCAAGCTCCCCCTCCCACCAAAAATGAGGACTTTCTGTGGAAATATTCATATGAGGAAGTCTGTTTAACTGCCCGAAAAAAAATTTGTACTTAATTTGTGATTCCCCCCAGCGATAGCTTGACTTCCCAATTATTCCTAAGACGAGATCTGGGACGCTCCAATTTACACCCATTTTGCTATAATTTACAGAGTTTAGTGATTGGTAATTTCAGAAAACTCCTTGATGACTACGATTTCTTTTCACAACGACTAGATGAAGCTGGCGTGTCATCGTCTCACATGGCAAGCATTAAAGGCTTGTCCAACCAGACCGTCCCCATTCCTTTCATTGGTCTTTCAATGTTCTGGATCTTCTTGAACTCTGACGTGTCAATATTGCGTACACAATTGTTTCTACCGTTCTGGCTTAAATGTGCCTGGTGTTGAATCACAATAGGTGATCCTAGAAAGAATAGAGATTGTTACACCACATTAGTAGATTTTCGCAGCAGCAATTGTGAGGTATTGTCATAACGGTGGTCTTTTGTTCTATTGAGATGATCCGATTTGTTGGTATTGTAAGTACGCCTGTTGTTTTAATTCACCCAACTGTTCTATCGGTATGACCTAAAATCGCGGTGATTTGACCGAAAATCCAAAATAAGTAGAATATCCTCCAGCTCTATGGTTTCATTTTTGATCTTGTGAACATCTTAGTTCTGTTTGTCTCTTTGACCGACTTGTAATATTGTTTCCTCAAGTCCGATGCCGAATCCCCGAAGCACGTTAAGAAAACCGATACTAGCAAATAAAGACAGAAGACCGCCATGGAACAGCCACCCCTGCTCTCTTGGAAGATTCATACGTTGGCACTTGTCTTTCCAGGTGATGGGCTGTACTGATGTCTCAGGTCCTCCAAATCACTTTGGTAGAAAAAGTAAGAGCATGGCCGGTGAAAATGAAAGACAGATTTCGAAGCCTCACGCAGCCGTTTTTTATGAGCGTTGTGATTGAGAGAGAGGAGACTATTGGAACTCCAAAAATTCTGTGATATTTTCTTTTATCGTTATTTGAGCGAGTTGCATTAATCAGGTTTTTTTTGATCGACTTCTTTTGCACTCGCCGCATTGTGAACCTCGGATCCGTATGGCCATGTTTTAAGGAAAAGGAAAAAAGCTAAATATATCTTGCTTTGTGGAAGCTTCTTGTTTTTGGTGACATTGAGCGTCTCATTTGTGGGCTTCGCGATAGGAATACAGCTAGTGTTGTAGCTTCTGTTCATGGGGCAAGGAGTGGATAGATGAAAGAAATAGAAAAGAAGGAGTGTATCAAAAGGCAGAAATTATTCTTTTTATTTTGAGATTTTTTGACGTCTTCGTCTCTGCTTCTTTCTCAAACTGGGGTTAGCAGACTGCGGCGATGTTTGAAATTACTGCAAGTAATGGAAAGAGATGGTGGAGTAAAAAGTACAAAATGTTTTAAACTAGCGCTTTTTTTGTTGCAATCGATTTACTCTACTTTTCCCTTGGTAGGGGTGTTAAGTGATTTTTAATATGCCTCAGTTGAATTTATTTCCCGTTGTCGTGTCTATAAACATGCAGAAAGCATGAGAGTTCAGCATGTTTAGTCGCAATTTACAAAAGTTTGATTTTTTTTCCATATAAATGTTTTACGTATCAATTTGAAATATAGTGTGGGAGGGCTTGTTGAAAAATTAGTTGACATTCTAAAACCTATGGAATAACTACCTTGCAAGACAATTTTTCATCTCAACGATTCTTCCTAATTCAACTCATTATCCAAACATTCTTCAAAGATGAAACACAGACTATCCTGATGTATTTTCCTGGCCTTTTAGCGAGCAAAAAGTAATAGTGCTTGTTTCCACACTATATTCACAAGAGCATGCTACAGACAATTTCCAAGTTTAATATTTTGGGGCCCAAAGATTACCCATGGTAAGACATGCCGACTATTGAAGGAGATAGCAAACACAGGCAACAAAACAAAGAATTGGTTTCAAAGCTTTCGATCTTGATTGTGATGCAATGTCATACAAAGATGAATGCGCATGAAAATGTTTCATTTTTCTTTGGTTTAGTAGAGCGGAAATACCAACATTCTGCCCTCAATACCTAAAATTTAGGCTTAATTCTGCAGAATTGTATTCCAAGACATTGCCTGGAGATACAATTCGATTCGAATCATGAACAAACCTTGACTTTCTGCAATGATAAGCTACTTTCCTCTCTTATAAATCACACAAAACCCTCCACTGCTGCGACTTCGAGAATGGTTTTGGTGAGCTCTATTAAGGGCACGTTTCCTAGAGTGGTTTGAAAACAGAGCCAAAAACCGCAATATCTCGATATTGCACCCAGGGAAGTATTTTGTCGGTTATTTAAGCATCAGGATTCACGAAAATTGTAGCCCAAATAAATCTCATGGACATCAAAAAGCCGCGACAGGTTCATGCACTTTCTGAAGGAGTGTGACTGCTTTGATATGTGGTGATATAGGACAGAAAACGACACGCACAACATATTCTGGAGTACACCTCGTTGAGTTCCCTGAATCCAAACGGACAAACCAACAGCCAGTCAAGCTTCTGGGTGACAAAAGTTAATGAAGAGTACCCCGCCACACCATATTAAGGAACATTCTTGCTGTTCTAGTATCATCTAAGTCTGGATCCCTGGAATCTGCTCCTAGTTATCTTCCTGGTAGGACCTCACTCGCAGAAACTTGAAGTCCTTCTCGTTTTTCAATGAGAACTCAACCTTTTCGCCTGCACGCTCTTCACTTCCCGGATAGGTTTTCCATACCGCGTAAAAAGTGACCCATGCCAATTTAGCATGGTTTGGCATTCCTCCCAAGTTCTTGACAACAAACTCGTAGTGGAACTCATAGTACGGCACCAGGCCCGAGGTCACGGTCACGTGTACTTTGCCTTCGGTGGAAAGCGTCCATGTGCCGTGGAAGATTTTGTGTGGCTCTTTGGAAGGGTTGACCTTGGTCACATCACGTGAGTCTATATTGGTCAACAAGCACCGCAAGCTGTTTGATTTCAGAAACTGGCCCACCACCACGCTGGGCTCGAGACGCGTGAGTGCCATCACACAGGCTCCGTTTGGATAGAAGCGCAAGTATCTATAATAAGTGATTGTGCGCACGGGGTTTCTCATGCTTTGTGAAAGCTCTTCACGGCCTCCCTCACTATAATAGTTAACCACACTGATATAACAGCCTAGGAACTTAAGGAAAGGCCGCTCGCGGATCATCTGTTTCCATGAGCTTCCATGATGCAGCAACACTGCCATCGGGTCCGCAGGGACAGGAAGGCTTTTCCCCATGAACCCCACGTTTTCTTCGTAGTTTTGCTTGGGATATATAAGGTAGCACAACTGGCGCCATATGCCCGAGGTGTGAAATGCAAGATAAGCATGTTTCTTGCATGTGACGCCAAACTTGAACCAGGCCTCTGGGTCTTTCCGTAGAAGAATCTGCAACACGTATACCCAGACCTCCGCAGGTAGGTTTACGAGCGGGGAAACCGGTTTGACGTCCACCACCCGATCTTCTCCATTTAGCTGCATGCTGGCAAACTTGATAGCCACGTGACCGTCGTCCCAATGTCGGGGGTCCGCAGGGTCAGGCGCATATGCGCTTTCGTGTGCAAAGGATGCGAGGAGACTGTCCACATCTATTGCCTTGAGTTTCGCTTCATCGACTTTGCGGCTGGCGTTTTTGCCCTGTTCGCCTCGAAGCTTTTCGAGGGCCTGCGGCACGGTGTTTTTGCGATATATGAGATCCACGCGGTCATTGAGCCTGAACGCCTCTCGGTAGTACTTAACGGCGTCCGCCATCAGGCCGTGCAGCTCTTTTGCGATTGCCTTTTCGAAAAGCTGCATTGCACGCGCATCTGCAAGCGACGGCTCTTGTTGGGGCTCGTCGCCAGACGCATCTTTGGCCATTCTGTAGTCCAGAGATGTTCTTGCCGTTGGCGGCCATGCGTTATCGGCACACATGCGTCTGCGCACAATAACGCACCGCGGTACCTGCACCAGATTGTGTCCCATGCTATATCATTCTGGGTTGCATGGGTCATGAGCTAGATGTGGGGTTGATTGATGAAAAGCAAGGGTGTAGGGATTTATGGGCCAGATCTGTGTGTTTTCTTTTTTGGGCCAAATTCTCCCAACAAGGAAGATGGAATGAACGTTTTGATTACATTCGCAGTGGTCCCTTGCGACCCGCAGTCACCTGGGTGAGCAATTCTGTAGTCCATCCCAATTTAAGATGTTTGTTTTCCAACACTCAAATCCAAAATTTGAGAGATCGCTTCATGGGCCTGCTTCCTCTCGCTCTTTGCTTCCATCCATTTCTTTAACAACCTATTATACTGTAATACCATAATTGCCTCAGTCTGGAGCCTCTCTTACCAATGGTTTTCAGAGAGCGCAATGAGTTTAATAACTCCAAGGGTCTCAAATTGCCGGACCTCATGTACTGATTACTCGAACGATCAATTATCAGTGTTGGTGAGCCAGACCTCTGTGGTTTTATATGGGCCACACTTCCGAGCTCTCTTTATGGGCTACATAGCTGTGTTGGATCCATGTTCTTTTATTCTGCCGTCTTTTTGGGTTCCTTGGCGCTTGATCCACGTCTCTGTTGCTTCACTGGCTAGACATCTTGTGTTTTACGGCTACGTCTCTGTCGCTTCACGAACTAAATGTATATATATATATATTTGTTAGATTCATCTGATTAAAGAAGCAAAACTATACAAATGTTATATATAAAACCTTTAAACAACTAGCAGTTACTTACCAAATGTTAAGCCTCGGCCCGCATACTTCCGTTAGTCACGGCCTGGATGGTCCTCTTCGCTCGTATCTGTTTACGTAGTAGATGTTACGTCATCGATTCCTAGGACAAGTCTCCTGTAGTAGTCGCTTCAACTCAGAGGGTTGAAGCGGACTCAAGAAGCTTACTTCCTGCGCCACGTCTTCGAGCGTATACCTTCAAAATCGTGAAAAACCAATATAATTTTGTTAACTTCTCGCAAGAGTTGTCGGCCGGAGCCAACATTGCGTCTAAACGCATGGGCTTGGCAGAGTTTAGCTCTTGCCACCAGGGTTTGGATGTTTCACAGCCGTTGTAGATATGGATTTTGAAGGCGTCTGTGGCATTTCCGTTGGTGTGGATTTGGTGTATACAAATATGACATTGGAAATGCTTTGCATGGTTCTGCGGGGGACATGCGATCCGTAATTGAAGTGATGAATGGAGAGTGGATCGTATCGCTGTAACCATTCTGCCTTATACAAAGCTCTCCAAAGGTGTTTTCACATTTTATGTGAGTAGAGCGCTGGAATTATCGGGAGTTGCTTTCTTGCTTTTTGCGGATCAAGGAATTGAAGGTCTCCTCATCAGAGGATTTCTTCTCTGCTTGACCGAGCGGAAGTCTTGCTAGCATTTGTTTGATGTGCTCATGATTGTGTCTTGATCTATCTCCAGATGTAAGATATGGCCCTTATCCCAGTGAGGACCTTCCATGAATTGAATAGGCGGTTTCGGTTTTCATGAGAGCCTAATTCAAATGCGTGAAGAATTAACCCGAAGTTATACGATTCGAGTGTGGCTATAGTTTGTAGCCTGAAAAGTCTGTTGCTTGATACGATATCATTCATGTGATGAAGCATTTGTATTCTGGGACTGGGAGTACCAGCTTTCGTTGTTACAAGGGACATCTATCAACACCATCGCCCGAGGTTCTATGAAACGTGTCAGTAGCTTGATAAGGCCTTAGCGTTCTTTGCGAGGACTCGCATCAAGTTTTGATTTGTCGAATCCTGGGATATTGCTTAAATTTGGAATCAATTTTGTCAAGTTCTCGGCAGCCATACTCGATCTTCGTACACCGTTTAGGAACTGACAAGGATGTTCGCTCCTAATACTCGGCTTATTAAGGCGATGCTCTGATATCCCAGTTTTCGGGTCATGGCTGTGAAGTTGACCCCATTTACTGAATATGTCGTCAGAGTCTTAAAAGATGAAATCTGAGATGATCTTACTGAGATTTGGCATAGCTTCGAAAGAAACCGAGAAGTTTAGTCTTCTCGTAGCTTGTTCTGCTATTGCTTACTCGCTCGAAAGCTGTGATTATTATGTCGGATTTTACAGCCATTTATATCATTGGGATATATGTTGAAATCATCTGCGAACGGATGGTATATTATGGTTTGTGGTTTGCTCTGATGCCAAACTAGAGGCGATAGGGGATTTCCTTGCCGTGTGCCACATTGGAGAGATAAGTGAGGCCCTTTGCAGTTATTTATAAAAGTCTTGTCTGACTGTTCCGTTATGATCAGTAGTATTGATCGAAGTGCCAGGGACCCGAATCCCATTTTGCAAGGACTTTCTGTATGTGTGGATAAGAGATGCGGTCAAAAGCTTTCGTGGAATCGGCCATTGAAACTGCTTGGATAGGCAAACATGACTTTCATATCTGTCCTTTGATGGGCGACGTCATGGGAAAGAGTTCCATGGTGGTTGATTGATTTTTGGTCTTGCATGAATCCTCGTTGGTGTTGGATGACTAATTTGGGGAGAGGGTTTGAGTTCTGGAAACCACCGCTTTTCTTTTTTAGGGCTGTGTTGGAGAGCGGAATGGGTCTTTGATTGAATATCTGCTGAATTCACGATTCCCTTTTTGGATGAGGGTCATCTATACGTAGCTGAGGATTTCGGGCAGGTGGCCTGTAATTATTATTCTGTTGGCGGTTCGTGTTAGGATTGGTCAATGCTCGGCCAGCAGTGTTCCATGATTGAGTATTGTAGTCTGTGTGGACCCGGTGGGGCGGGTTATATGAGTGGTATATGGCCCGTCTGTTTAAGAACCAGATATATACATATCTGTAGTTGGCCCGTTTGTTGTATCAAGAACGAGATATATATATATCTGTAGTTGGCCCGTCTGTTGTATCAAGAACGAGATATCTATTACTTGTAGTGGCCCCCTCTGTTGTATTGAGAACGAGATATCTATTACTTGTTGTTGGCCCGTCTGTTGTCTCACGAACGAGATATCTACATATCTGTAGTTGGCCCGTCTATGGTTTCACAAACGAGATGTCTATTACCTTGAGCGTCTGGCTACTTCTGTTGCCTCACGAGATATCTACAATCTGTAACTGGCCCCGTCCTCCAGAACGAGCTGTCTATATATCTGCAGTTGGCCCGTCTGTTGTAACAAGAACGAGATATCTATTACCTGTAGTGGCCCCCTCTATTGCTTCACGAACGAGATGTCTATTACTTGTAGCTGGCCCGTCTATTGCTCCACGAACAAGATGTCTATTACCTTGACTGTCTGGCTACTTCTGTTGCCTCACGAGACGTCTTTACGCCCGCAGTTGGCCCCTCCAGTGCTTCGCCCCACAGACCAGGCCGCGCAGCGGTCCACAGGCAGCCGCTGCCTCACGCGGCCGTGCGCGGTCACACCAACACCACGCCCACGCCGCTCCCAGCGCTGCCCACCTGCTGGCGGCCGTCGAGGCCGCCGTCGATGGGCTTGGCCCTGTAGTTGAACAAGTAGTAGTGGAGGAGGCCGTCGCCCGGGCCGAACTTGGCGGCGTCGATGAACAAGGTGTTGTCCTGGCACGTCAAGGCGTTGAACACGTCCACGCCAAAGGCGCGTGCGGTGATGAGCGCGTCCGTCACCAAGCCCGTCAAGCGCGCCTGGTACACGGGCGGCGCGGCCGTGTGGCTGTCGGTGGCGTAGTAGAACAAGTACGCCACGCCCAACTCCGTGTGCACGGCGTGGTCCAACACCGAGAACGGGAGCAAGTAGTACGAGACAAAGTCGCAGATGCGCCCCGCGCGCTCCACCACGTACGCCTTGACCACCGCGCCGCCGCACTCGCCGCCCAAGAGCCAGTGCGCGAGCTCCGCCTTGCCAAACACCTGCACCATCTGGAACCGCTGCTGGTACGCGTGCAAGAGGTCGAACACCTGGTCGAGGTCCGCGGCCTCCATGGGCCGGAACCCGGGCGTGCGCGGCGCGGGCGCGAGCGTGTAGCGGGCCGCCATGCTGGCCTTGGTCTGGCCCGGCGGCAAGGGCAGGAAGCCCACGTCGTGGAGCTTGGCCCAGTCGAGCGGCCGGTGCGTGTACCGGCACGTGGCCACCGGCGACGGCAACACCACGCCCGCGGTGTAGAGCGCGTGCCACACGCCGTGGCGGTTGACGCGGCGCGTGATCTCGCGGATCAACACCGGCGCCAAGCGCTTGCTGCGCAACTTCTTGTGGACGCACAAGAAGTTGATTTCCACGGCCGGCACCGTGGCGCCGGGCCCGGCGAGCTTCAACGTCACGGGCACCGCGGCGACGAACGCCACCAACGTGCCGCGGCCCTGGACGCGCACGCCCACGAGCCAGTCGCGGCGCCAGCCGGGCGGCTGCAACGCCCACCGGAAAAACGCTTGCGAGTACTTGAACCGGAACGTGGCGTCCTGGTCCTCCACGTAGTGGTCGTGGAGGAGGCGGTAGACCTCGTCCAACTGCGCGGGCACGTCGATGTCCACGGTGGCCCACTCGAAGCCCGCCAAGAGCGGCAGCGGCGTGGCGGGCACGTCCTGCGCCGTTTTGGCGCGGTCGATCGGGCCCTCGCTTTGTACCTCCTCGCCTAACGCGGGCACGGGCTGCGTGTTCCAGAACTTGTGGTCCGCCATGGTTTTCTGCTGCGGGGCGAGGAGCTGGAGGAGCTCCTCGATCAGGCGCGGTTGTTTGTCGGCCATTGTTGGGTGGTGGTGGTGGTGGTGGTGAGAAAAGAGGTGAGAAGAGAGAAGAGAGGTGAGGTGAGAGGTGAGGTTGTTGAGTGAGTGCGAAGTGAGGTGGAGGTGAGAAATGGGGCCGGATGGCAGGACGGGGCAGGCTGGGGCCGCGCAACGGGCCTTTCAATCTCAGATTTCCAATTCATGGATGTACGGTCCTGGGGATTTCTAGAATACGACTATTCTCGAAAACCCGTGAGGGCGGAAGAGAAGGGGAGAAAGTTTCAATTCTGATTCAGACAAAACATAACTCTTTTCATAATACTGTTTTGTTTTTAAAAGCCGTTGTTTAATGTATATGATGGTAGAAAGTTTTTCAGTATTGCTTGCTACTAATTCAAACATTGTATAACTTGTATTAACCATATTATTTGAACTTTTATATTTAGACTTATTTTATCATAAAGCTCAGTTTAATTGGTATTATTGTATCAGCCTTGGAAGTAAAATTTTCAAATCCAATTTGATTTAAAAATCTGAATAAGAGGAGAAAAAGATGTTTTGAAAGATATAGAAGAGTATCAACACCATTGGGTTTACTTAAACAACTTTCATATTCTATAAAACACTTTTTATTATCTGTATCAGCGATTTTTTCTGTTCTAAGAAAAGAGCGAACCGACAGACTGAAACCAAACTTCATTAGTTGCATTAAGTAAGTCATTCAAAGGAGATAGGAGAGTGCTTGATTCGATAACAACTTTATGACAAAATATCACAACTATATATTTTTCAAATCATCAGAGAGACATGAGTAGATCAGACTGAGGGTGAAGAAAGTGAGAGCTTTAAGAGATCTACTCATGTCTAGTGGCTAATGAATTCACATTTGTTATAGAAAAGAATGTGATATGATATGATATAACAAATGTTCTGTTCTGACCATTCTTTACATAGTGTTATAATAGAAAATATAAGGAAAACATCGGCTGTCCAAATTTTAGAAGTCATGAAAGAAAGAAAGAACCAACGAAAAATGGTACAATTAGAATCGAAAACATTGGTTTACCCCAAGAAGGTGTTCTCAGTCCAATCTTCAGGTGAGCGAAATCTAACATTGTCATGGACAATTCGATTTTCATGTATCAAATATCCACGTACAGAATATGCGAATTGGCAAGTTACGTAATCCCATGAAACATAAATTACGGTTTAACAGACTAGTGGCTTTGCATAAAGAATTGTGATTATAGGTTACGTAAAAATATATTCCCCTTTCCCCGAAAGGCAGGCTTGTTTTAAAAATAAAATTCTGAACTACGAAGGGGCTTAACAGACATTCAAATCACAAGGGAAATGTAGTAATAAATATCAGCATATCGTACATCAGTAAGGTGCTTATAAAACAAATCCATAGAATCTCTCTATGGTACTAAACTCATATCTTTTGATATAGAATAGCCCCCTCCGGGTCTATCACCGGATACGGAGAATTTTAAAACACAGCTCTTGTATAAGTATCATCAGTTTATATCCAGCTCCTATCTCTCCCTGTACGGAAATTGTTCCCTTGCCACGTGGGAGGTGCCTACATGGCGAATACCACGGGCCAGGGCCAGGGCCGCGCGAGCTGGTCGCATGGGGCCAGAGGCAATGTATATTAGCCAGTGGGAGAGTTGGATAAATTTGGGTGGGTTTGGGTGGGATTAGGTGTGAACTTAAATAGATTTTGGTTTAGATTTTGACTTGGTTGGATTTGGGTTTGGATTTGATTTGAATAGATTTGGATGGATTTGGTTTTGGATGGATTTGGTTTTGGATGGATTTGGTTTTGGATGGATTTGGTTTTGGATGGATTTAGATTTGGATAAATTTGGATTTGGATTTTTTGGTTTGAATATATTTGGATTTGGATTTAGATTTGGTTATGGACTTAAGTTTGGGTTTGGATGGATTTGAGTTTGGATAAATTTGGATTTGTATAAATTTTGATTTGGAGCTGATTGGATTTGTGGATAGATTTGAGTCTGGATAGATTTGAGTTTGGATGGGTCTGGGTTTAGATGGGTTTAATTTGGATGGGTTTGATTTGGATCAATTTGGGTTTGTATAGATTTGGGTATGGACTTGAACAATTTTGGTTTTGGTTTGGATTTGGATATATTTGGATTTAGACTTGGATAGATTTGGGTATAGACTTGAATAAATTTTGGTTTGGATTTGGATTTGGTTAGATTTGGATATGTTTAGATGGATTTGGATTTGAATGAATTTGCCTTTGATATTGGTTTTGGGTTTGAATGGATTTCGATGGATTTGGCTTTGGATAGATTAGTGTTTGAATTTGAATTTAGATCGATTTGAAAGAATTGGGTTTGGATTTGGATAGAAGGTCTGGATGGTTTTGGGTTTGGATAGATTTGGGTTTGGACTTGGATTTGAATGTATCTGAATTTGGATTTAGTTTTGGAAAAATTTTGGTTGGACTTTGATTTGGACTTGATAGAGTGGATTTGGATAGATTTGAATTTCAACAGATTGTTGCACTAGTTATTGAAATTAGTACGAGTGAAACCTTCCATTCACATAACTGGTAGTTGGCCCTGTCAGAGAAGGCCTTGGACAAAAGCTACCATCTGCGGATTATGGCTAAACGCTGCCAAGTCAGAATCCATGTTTAAAGCAACGCCACCTACTTGCATTCGGATGTTGAGCCAGACTTCAAGTTTGCATAGCTTACTGTCATCTATGGGAGTAGCTCACAACCAGAATTCATGGAAAGGCTCCTTGTGCGTTCTATAAAGCAAATGGTGTTCGAGATTATTTGTGAGGAATATCTTGAGTCAAATAGTTGCAAAAATCATTCTACAGACAGAAAACCGACCCTTCTACGAAAAAAACACTTCACGTTTTGTATGCATTTGTCTTTCAGTTGGCATGAGCGCTGACAAATGCAGTGGCGTCGTTGTTTGTCAATGATGTGCTCAAAATATATATGAAGTTGAGAAAAATTGAAATCCATAATCTTAGCTATTATTCAGACGAATACGATGACAACTTTGAGATTACAATCCTTATTCCCTTCTAGCACTCGGTTCACTTCGGCTGTTTTTGATGTCTTTGAAATCTACGAACTCATGTATGGGATAGGCGACTTTATTTAAAAAAAGCCTAGATTAAACCGAAGATATCAATCATCTTTGCAACGTCACTTGCGCCATGATTTCAACATTTCGAACATTTTATATGATCTGACCCAAACCATTTACTTTTTCAATTATTCTATGTTGGAGGAGGATCGGAGACTTGAATATCTGGACCTCGACGAAGACTCACGAAAATTGACATGACCTAAGAGGGAGACTTTTCCAGTGATGACTTCGAGGCGAATTTTGAAAACGGTGTTGAAAGTGCTCAATGTGTGCGCCACATCGAGTAATCTACAACTTCGATCATTCACGGTAAATTGTGACGGTGAGAAGCCCAGAAAATCTTCCATTCACAATGATTTGACAGAACAAAAGGAGCTATGTTTCAAAAATTTTCAAAAATGACTGCCGAATAAAGGCAGTTATCCGAATTCAATCAAACCTACTTTGGAAGCTGGTTCTCTTTTTGAGCTATGGCTTACCAAAGGCTATTTTGCAGTTGGTGCAAGAGGCTGTTCATATCACAAACCACAAAGCTGTTCTCAAAACTCGGATTTGAATTTGGATTTAGATTTAGAGACATAAAAATTCGTTATCAAAATACACTAATAAAAACGAATTAAAAGTATTCTTCTCTTAACGCTTAAGTGGAACACACATACGATACATGAAAAGGATCGAGTTTGAAACCCTTTTCAAGCTATATGCTTAATTTATCTCGTGAGTGAGCGGGAGAAAATTTGAAGCATGGGAGTCCAAGAAGCCGGAGAAAAGTTGACCACATTTCAGTAAGTATCAACAATCACTTGATAAGAGTCCAAAACAACTTTTTTGACAGGTTACACAAAACCTTATACATATCCCCATTGTATTTATAGTCAAGAAAATAGACAGCTGTGGAAATGACGTGGGCAACTTGAATCTCTCGACTGCTATTATTTCAAAAGTGTAAACAAACATCTTTTGATTCATTTCACCTAATCTAGATTCTTTCCCCAATTCCTGGTCCTGAGAGTTTCGCAGAAAAGATTCCAGGCGTTCACGTCCTCTCAACTATACTTCGATAAATGGTAAAACTTCACATTTCATCATTAAAACAGTGATATCCAAAAGGTACTTATTTTCTTCCTTTTCTCACAGATCTTTAGTATGCTTCAGTGCTCACGGTTTCCCCATGCAGAGATATTACCTAGCTAGCTGTCTATACGGTCATTTATATTTCAATTAGCGATTGTTGTCCCAGCTATTGGCTTCATATCTAACCCTTGAAGACATAAAGTAACTCAAGATAAATCGCTCTCATGCTAGCTCCATTATAATAACAAAAATGAATATTCTTAAATCCTAAAAACGGTCAGGTCTACCCACAAGTAAAGAAGAGAGGACAGAGCTAGCAATAGGAATCCGTCATACATTTATATTATGATAAAGCATACATATGTGGAATAATGAAAACTAACATTTGAATATGTTAGATTATTATCATTTTCTTAGGCAATACTCATGTAAAATAACTCTAAAATGCCTAATAATTTATTTATTGAAATGAAGGGATATACGGGAAATATCGTTGGCATAGATTTAGGTCTACTCTTCTTTTCTTTTTCCAAGAATAAGGAAAAAAAGGGACCAGTGGAAGAGAAGCAAATCACAGTACAAAATAGAATATATAAACTTATATGAAGTATCCCCCAAATTTGCTAAGGAGCATTTGGGATGCTGCAGCTGAGCTGGGTGTGAGAGGAGGGCACATGGAGGAATCTAACGGATGGTATTAGTCAATTAAATAGAGTTGTCTCATTAATAAAGGAATAATTGTGACTGAGATATGATTGGAATGACTCAAACATACCGTTATGTTGTAATCCATATAAGTATATTACCCTTTGCAAAAGAAGGCTCATTGCCAAAATCCGAATTTAATTCATCACTTCAGGTTGTTTATCTCATATCATAGATATCAAAGTTATATTATTGCCATCAGGCCACAGGTCTAAGCTGGAAACTGAGGACCCTTGAACATGTGGATGAGTTCACCCATCGCGTACACTTTTACGCCGTGCTGTCCGATTTCAAAACTGAAGATCTTGTACATTTGTTGATGCTTTCCATTCCATGGTCTACCACTGTCCATGCAAACACACCATGGTCCCGTGCCTCAGTCCCTTTGGCACTTTTTCGTGTTGACTCCAAGCTTTTTTTTGTTCGTCACCCACAATCGGATGGTCAAGTCGAGAATCGGAACAAGATGATTGAGACATGCATCTGGCTTACGCCGGTCTGCGAGAGAGCCCAAATTCCTAGCCATGAGCGAGTTTGTTCTAAACGTTCAACTTTTTATGTCTCTCACCAACAAAGCTCTACTGAGGTTGACTTTGGTTATGTTTCCGTCCGCTCCCACAGTGTCTCTTTCCCTCCAGCTACCTCACGACTCATTCGGCAAGCTGTTGATATTACCGAAATACTCAATAGATTGCTTGACACTGAACTTGCTGCTCATTAAGCCGCTTTCTCCAATTTTCGGTATTGCTATGACCGACGTCACAAAAATCAACTATTTTCAGCCGGCGACGAAGTCTATCTCCATCTTTCGTCTTTCGTAGTTTGGCAATCAGCTCGACAGTCAAAATCTTGCTGTCTGGCTCAAGTCACGTTCCGTATTTGCTGGGCCGTTTGCCTTCTCTACTGTTATAAGTTCACTTAATTACGAGCTTGTCATGTCCCCTACCCTGGGACACCCAGTTTTCCATATTAGTCACCTTCGACTCAAACACAGAATTCCGGAGGAACACATTTTTATTATTTATTTTCAGATTTTGATGAAGCAGTATATCGACGGCTCTTTGAAAGCTGAAGCTACGGAAATTGTGGGTCATCGGAAAGTGGCCACAAGAAATGAATCAAAATTCCCCGGGTCATTTTCAATTTCGAAGATCGCTGCGGCTCCGCTGGCCCCACAAATACTGCCCGCGCCGATCTGGCGCTGAAGCGCTCGCCCTAATTATGGCCCTACATCTCGTGGCTCCAGCCGGCCTGGCCCTGAACGCTCGCGCCATTAATCCTGGCTCCATACGTTCGATCTAAACATACAACAATCATTCTCTTCGAGACAACAGAAATACGCCGTGATCGTCGCTGTTTTTTCCTCAGCAGCCAGCAGAACTAGAAGTCCACGCGTTTTCAGCAGTATTAATCTGCCATGGTCTTGAACAAGTCAAAATGGGACCACAAGGCCAAAATCCAGTACTTGAGAAAACATAATCTCACACGGCCAAAACCCACAGCGAACGTCAACAGGCCGAAATGGTCAGCCAAAAAATCGCAGGGATCCCAGGGCACGGCGTGGCTTGACGAAGAAGACGATAGCGACTGGGACCTGGAAGACGAGGCGTTCTTGAACCATTTCTACCCACAAATATCGGAAGACCATCTTTCGGTGGAAAACAAGCAGAAGCTCAAGCGGCAAATCATCAAGATCGTGAAAGCTCGTGAGAATGGCGAGCCTGAAGTCCAGGAGCATGCTTCTGATGAAGAAGATGGCATCTACTTGGGTGCAAGACCGGTGCTTCACGAGGCAGAGTCATTTCCTGAAGACGAAGAAGACGCTGAGTCCGGCGAAGAATACCTGCTTGAGATCGCCGATTTGGAAACCAAGCTCAGTGAATTCGTGGTGTCCGACATGGGCAAGCTGGGTAATCGCAAAATGCTCAAAAACAAGATCCTGGACAATCTCTTGGACGAGTATGGCCTAGACAGCTACGCCAGCACCGTCAAAACCACCGATTACAACAACTCGGCCAAGCTGCAGTTCCGCAACGTGGACCGTTTGACTGCTGCCGACTTGCATGGCTTCCGAATCGGGGGTCCGAAAAACGAGCCTAAACAACCGAGTGTACAGGCACTAGATGCGACAGAACTCGAGGCACATCGTGCCAGGGCCGAAAAGCTCCGGCACGTGAAGTTCCATGACCAGATCAAAAAGAAATTCGGCGACGAGCCGGCGAAAAAAACCCGCGTGCTTGAGATCAACAACTTCAATGCCAACGATGAGATGCAAATGGCGGCGTTGAATTCCAGACTCACGCTGGACAACGGGGCACTGCATCGAGCAACAAGCATGGATGAAGACTTGGACGTGCTTCTTGGCTTGGAAAGTGGGGGCCAGACGCAACAGCCTCCGCTGGAGTCCTTGGACTTTTTGCAAGACACTCTACCTTGGGCGGGATCCCTGAAACGAGAACCCGCAAGAAAAGAGACGAAAAAAAAAGAGTCACACACTGACTCGTTTTTGGACGATCTTTTGGGGATCTGAGGATCGCATGTGGGATGTCTAAATCAGGGACCACAGCCAAGTAGATGGCAAAACAGCAGATCCGCCTAAGAGCGGTGGAAAGTTTGACGGAACAGGCGAGTAAAAGTAAATTTTGAGGCAGCGCTGTAAGAGATTGAATGGAGCCTGACAGCAGTATCGACCGGGCTGTATCAGTATCAAGCTCGTGCTAGCTAAGGGGCATCGAGAGCTGCAAGTATCTGATCAAGTTGATTGCGTAATCATCGTGGACACGCGAAAAAAGCGCCAGAAAGTCTTCAGGTTCCGGGCCTTCCAATTCATGGATTAGAGCTGACTGGAACTCTGCATCCGTTACATTATGGTATGCAGCGGTATTTGCAGAAAGGTCATATGGCCGGTTTAAAGAATGAAGGGCCGCATCTGTAATCTGAAAACCGACTGTGGTTATCTGCTGTTTACATACCGGCTGTCTGATTCCCGACTGTCTGATTATTGGCTGTCTCACCAATAACTGTCTGATTATCGAATGATTTCCCAAGGGGCTAACCAAGCAAATGGCCATTGGCAAAGACCCAGGAAGCCCGTCGATTGGGTCAACTTTCCGTTTGCAGCCAGTGAAACAAGCTAGCTTAGTCAAGCCAGTATCCACCCAAATAGCTGGTCTTCCGAGGAACACGAAAAGCAATCTTCAAGCCACAAAAAAGACGACAATCAGAAGAACACAGAACCACTGCTTTGCACTGCAATGAGCAATATGCAAGAGAGTTAGATCCATGTGCCTTCATGACGGGTATCAGCTCACATGCAACGCGAGCACTCGGGAATTACCCTCGTCTTTGTTCCACCGCTAGAGAGGAAATGCAGACCCCCCTAAACCAGAATAAAAGTGAGCGGGAAACCAAAGCTCCTGCTTCATCATCGATGGTATCGCTTTTTTTCGGGCCAGCCTATCTATCCCAAACCACCAGGCTAATCACTTGGTTCCGGGCGTGCACACAGCGCGCGACAAAGATTTTACCCATCGCCGCGATGTGCTGGGCATCGCAGAGCCAGCCAAAAGCGTCCTGCCAATTTCTCCCAGAACACCCCACAACATCTTGCCAGCCATGATTTCTTCCAGTTGCTGGGTGCCCAGAGGCTTCGCTGCCGAGTTCCCCGAAAAATACGAGTTAGACGACGCGGAGATGGACAGAATCACCAAGATGGCTCAGCTAGAGTTGGAGGATGCCAAGGAAGACTTGCAAGAGGCCGAAAAGGCGCAAAACGCGCTGACGTTGCAGGACCAGGCCACGGTCGACGATGACTTGAAGGAGTACAATCTCGAAAACTACGACAACGACGGCCAGGAGACGGCCGGCGAATCCGTGGGGTTCTTTCCCGGGTTGAGTGCCACGGATGCACAGTACGAGGAAAACGACGAGGGCGACGCCTATCTTTCCTTGCCCACAAACGCAGACCTTCAGGAAGACAAGAAGGAGATGCAGATCTACCCCACAGACAACTTGGTTTTGGCCACGAGAACCGAGGACGACGTCCTGTATTTGGACGTGTATGTCTATGACGACGGAGCCGGGGCCCCTAGCGGCTCCAAGGAGGAGCAGGCGGACCGCTTGGACCAGGATGTGGCCAACGGCATGACCAGAGAAGCCAACTTGTACGTGCACCACGACTTGATGTTACCTTCTTTCCCGCTTTGCGTGGAGTGGGTCAACTTCCGCCCCAACGCCGCCGAATCCACCGAAAACATCGGCAACTTCGCCGCCGTCGGCACGTTCGAGCCTCAGATCGAGATCTGGAACCTCGACTGCATCGACAAGGCGTTCCCGGACGTGATCTTGGGTGAGCCGCAGCAGAACTCGTTCACCGGCTTGTCCTCCAAGAAGAAGAAGAAGAAGAGCAAGGGAAAGGAGCACGTGACCACGCATCACACGGACGCCGTGCTTTCATTGGCCCACAACAAGATCCACAGAAACGTGTTGGCCTCCACGTCCGCAGACACGACGGTGAAGTTGTGGGACTTGGTCTCCGGAACCGCGGTCAAGTCGTTCAGCAAAATCCATGAGGGTAAGATCGTGTCCTCGTCGCAATGGCATCCCCTGGAGGCGTCTATTCTCTTGACGGGAGGCTACAATGGCGCGTGTGCCGTTTCGGACGTCCGGGTGTCGGACGAGAATCAGATGAGCAAATCCTACTACGTGGGCAGCGGCCAGGAGGTCGAGAACGTGCGCTGGGGCGCCGAGCCCGAGATCTTCTATTGCGGCACCGACAACGGTAACGTCTACTGCTTCGACGTGCGTGTGCAGGACAAGCCGTTGTGGACGTTGCATGCCCACGACAGCGGCATCTCGTCGTTGGACATCAACCGCAATGTGCCCGGCATGTTGATCACGTCCGCCATGAACGAGAAGGCCGTGAAGTTGTGGAAGTGCCCCACCGGGAAGGGCGGCCCCTCGATGGTCTTGTCACGTGACTTCGGCGTCGGCAATGTGTTGACCACGGCCTTCGCGGGCGACTTCGAGGTTGCCGGCAACTTGACTATCGGCGGTGTCACGGGTGCCTTGAAGATGTGGGACTGCTTCAGCAACCGCTCCGTGCGTGCCACGTTCAAGCAGGAGTTGAGCAGCCTACAGAAAGCGGCCAGGGAGCGTGCCGTGGCCGCCGGTATTGCATCTAGAATCGCCAGAAAGTACCAGGGCGACGGCAGCGAAACGCTCATGACGGTAGAGGCCGGGAAGATTGACGCCGACTCCGATTCCGACGAGGAGCCCGCCGGGATGGATGAAGACGAGGACTGAGTGCATGTGCGTGGGCCCGGTTGTCAAAGCCGGTGAAAGCGCTCGCACATGGCACACTCAACGACTATACGGATGCATGAGCAGCCGTGCTGGAGAGCGAGAACTGAGATGGTAGGACGAAGTCCGGCGCCTCACGTGACACGCTCATCACGTGAGCTGTACATCACATGATACTCTCCTCACATGACTGGTATGTCACGTGATCAACACTAGCGCCCCGAGCCGCCGGCTCGCACCTTGCCCCCCTTTTTTTCCTCCAGCCTCCACGTTCTCCACAGAGCGCTGTCCAATCAAGTGTATATTAACCCATAGAGATCCATTTAGTGGCTTTCAACTATCATGTACACCCCGCCAACAATCACTTCGGATCTCAGATACCATGTTTCCAGATCCCAGAAACAAGAGGGAGTTTATAGGCGCGGAGGCCGCAATTGCAGCCACTGCCCAGGACTGGAGCCCGGAGGTACGGGTGTCGCGCCGCCGCTGTCACTAGTCCTAATCGCGCAGCCGAGTTCATCATTCTGGGCGCCCGAAACACACCAGTACCAGGAAACAAAATGCCACGCTTGGAGGAGTGGGAGATCAAGAAATACTGGAAGATTTTCCAGGGACTCAGCCCAGAAAACAACAAGCTAACGGGCGAAAAGGTGTCGCCCGTGTTGAAGAACTCGCGCTTGCCGGACGAGCAGTTGGCGCAAGTATGGCAGTTGGCAGATATCGACAGCGACGGCAAGTTGGACTTTGAGGAGTTCTGCATCACGATGCGCCTTATTTTTGACTTGGTGAACGGTGAGTCGCTGCTGGTGCCGGCACTGTTGCCTGGCTGGTTGATACCCCTGCTGAAAGCACACTTGATCCAGGCCAACCGGGCCGTGGCCACGGGCCAGAACTCGGCTAGCGGCTTTGCGCTGGACGACGACGACGACGCGCTTTCCGATGACTTCGACTGGTACATTTCTCCGACCGACCGCGCGACCTACGAGGCGATATACAACTCAAGCAGCGATACCTATGGGAGAGTCAGGTTCGATTCCTTGCAAGGCTTGTACGACACGCTCAAGAACGTGCCCAAGCTAGACATCTCTTCCGCGTGGAACTTGGTCAATCCAAAGTCGTCCGAGACCATTGACAAGGATCAGGTGTTGGTGTTGTTGCACATGCTCAACCAGCGTGAAAACGGGAAACGGATGCCCAGAGGCGTGCCTGCGTCGTTACGCGCCACCTTCTCTAAGGAAGTGCCTAGTTATGATTTAAGCCTGACGCCCGCCCCGCGCAAAGAAGTGCTGGAGCCCTCTGCAAATGACAAGAAGTCTTTCGGCACGAGCTACTTGACGAAGATGGGGCAGACGCAGCAGCCTAGTCGCGGTACTGATTTCTCGACGACCGAGGGCACAGACTGGGAGGAGGTGCGCTTGCGGCGAGAACTAGTGGACCTAGAAAAGCTACTTGAAAAATCGCAGCAGGTGTCGGCTGCGCCCGTGGAGTCAAGCGAGCTGACTTTGTTGAAACACGAGTTTGAGCAGTTGTTGAAATATAAACAGGAGGTGTTGTCTGCAGCCAAGCAGCTGCCGCACAGCAATAAGGACCTCAAGGATGTTCGTAACGACGTTAACTTGATCTCGAGTCAAGTTCAGATGTTGGAGGAGTTTTTGAAAGAAAAGGAGGAGGAGTTGGGCGGGTTGAAGTCCCAGCTACGTGCTGCTTGAGGCGTTGCGGGCCTTGTGATCATGCATTGCCGGCGGGATCATAGAACCAGAAAAGAGGGCATGGCCTGCTGCAGGAAGTGCGTTTCCGACGTGTGGTCCGCCGGCGGTTGATTCTCCTCTTCGGCCGAAACGGCGTTCCTCCGAGTCGGGACTGCAGGCGTTCAGCGGCACACAACAGCTTTTGATACAGGCGATCTGAGCTCCGGCGCCGGCCTCCCCGGATATACTAGAATCTACGCACCCATCTCGAGAATAATATTCGTGTATTATACAAGTGCTCGACTGTACGTAGGGGCCAGGTGGCGTGTGGGGGATGCAAAAGGGGGTTGCCTACTTCTTTTCTTCGTCGGTAGGCTCGGGTTCCGGCGTGGGCAACTTGAACGAGTCCGGGGTGAAGTCCTTGCCCTCGCCAACCTGCTCCCACACGGAGGAGCCGACGGAGAAGTTTCTCCAGGCCTGCGTCAACTCCAAAGGCTCATAGATGACCCGCTTCTTCTCCTCGTCATAACGCACCTCGGTGTATCCGGTGGTGGGGAAGTCCTTGCGCAAGGGGTGGCCCTCGAAACCGTAATCGGTCATGATTCTTCTCAAGTCGGGGTGGCCCTCGAAGAACACACCAAACATGTCGTACGTTTCTCTTTCGTACCAGTTGGCTCCCTCATAGATGGGCACCACCGAAGGCACGGCGGACGTTTCCGACGCGTACGTCTTCACACGGATTCTCGAGTTGTGGCGCACACTCAACAAGTTGTACACCACGTCGAAACGGTTGGTTCTGGAGGGGTAGTCCACGCCGGTGATGTCCATGCAGCTCTTGAACTGCGCCGCGGTGTGGTTCTTCAAGTACACCATGACCGGTCTGAGCGCCGAGGGCGCCACATAGATGGTCAACTCATCCTTCCACACGGAGAACTGCTGCACGAATTTGGGCATGCACGCCATCACGTAAGTGCCGAACTTGTGTAACTCCTCCGACACCTCTTTGTACTGGTCTGCCGGGTTTTGGAGGGGCACCTCCTGGGGGCCTTTCAGCTGTCTGGGCAACGAGTGCAAGAATGGAAGCGGCTCGTCGGATTCCTGCGCCAAGCGGGGCGAGGCCGCCAATGTTCTGAGCTGGAGCGCCGCACGGGCCACGCGGGGCGCGGATCTGGCGAGTCTAGCGGTGTGTGCCAACATGTTTCAGCGGGTTTTGGGGACTTTTGGAGCACGCTTGGCCAGATGGCTAGCAGTTGAGAGAGCACCTGGCTTTTCGGTGCGGGTGTGCAGGCTGTGGTAATTCCGCGCGTACCATTGGCCGTGCCAGATCCGTGCCTCCCGACCTGGACCAGCGGCGTGGCGGGCCCGGGCACCGAGCTGGTTTGCGGGGCTGGTGGTCGGGAGCTTGGCTTTGCGTTGGGCATTGTGCCTGGAGCCGGCCGGCGGCCAGGAGACGCTTGACGTCACGTGGCGTGGGTCACGTGATCACCGGCATATGTCCTCTGGCACGTGACTCCTGGTCTTGTATTCGCGCGAGTTTTGCGAGTCACGTGACGGCCGGTTCGTCGGTGAAATTGCGGGCGGCTGCGAATGCGGCATCTGGGCGACCAAGATGTCACCAAAGGGAAGGACCCAAAAGAACGGCGTGTGTTCATTCTTGTCGAAACCCGTATTTGTCGAGAGTCCTGAAAATGGGATCGTAGTTGATATGACAAAAAAACCGGATTTCTCGAATTCGTCTTAGGGGCGGCAACAACAATATGTCATAAGATGGCTCGTCGGAATATAAGTACAGCAACAGAAGTATCGTCATGAAAACAGGGCTTACATTTAGCGGGGCAGCCGAAGACAGGCCTTTAATAGTGCGATTAGAATCTGTATGCAATGATATCTAAAAGGAATCTCTCCATCACTTCTTTTGCAATGCTATCTGCTGAACCAGCTTGCTGTGCTTGTTTGACTTGCTGTGCTTGTTTGACTTGCTGTGCTTGTTTGACTCTACGTGTTTGTTTTGTTAGATATTGAACTAGTTAAGTTTTCCTAATGTGCTTGTTAAACTAGCTTGATGTGCTTGTTTGATTGGCCTACTGAACTTCTTTAGTTAGCCCAGTGTGCTAGTTATAAGCTCAAAGTACTTATGTATCCCGATCTCCGGCTAGATGCGGGTCCCTGGCTTTACGGGATTTCCTAAATCAGCTTGACTAGCTCGACCACATTGACGTGCACTCGCGTTATTGACTGCACTGAACTATTCTGTGTTGTTTCATTAAATTGTCTTCCGAAGCAAGGTTTTTCCAGGCGCTCCAATCTGAATCGATACTGTTTTCGCTCCAAAATTCTTATCTTCTCATTGTCCTTTTCTTATGCAGATGGTTCCTGTTCATTGCTTACTCCACCCATTCTACAATAGAAGAATGAACAGCTTTGGCGCTCGTTCTCGTTAAACGTCAACTTCGATTATTACTCTCAAGATGTCGCTAACTGATCTCCCACAAGACGTAGTTGCTAAAGCTGGGTCTCCGTTGTACCTGTTTGCTCTCTGATGGCACCTCAAAACAAACCAGCAGTAGCAAAAGGGCCCACAAATCCACTTCACTAATTATCTCTTCTGTATTCGACAAAAATTTAACCTTATACCTAAATTATAGACCGTGAAAACCACATTATCAGTGTTTCACCATGCATTTAGATAGGCGACAGAAATCAGTACTTTGTCATATTTGCCGCAGCAAACACTAAAGAAAATATGCCAAAATCCTGTAACCATCCCAGAAGTGTGCTGTGATCATCTGAATAACGTTGCCTCGCATTGAGCTGAGTGTGTCTTTTCCTTAAGGATTCACTCCATTATATTTATGCCAAACTTGTACTACAGAGCCTTGCGACATATATAATGGACTAATATAAAAATATGCCAGCACTGCATGCCCTCAATATGACATGATGCAACAGTCACACAACTTTGTTGCCGCTTCTGAAAAGAAAGAAGCCTTCTACGGATTTGGACCTGAGTATCAGCCAGTAACGTAGACTAGTTGTTGAAAGAGCGCAACATACGTTCTCTCGTAAAGACCTTGAGGTATGTGAAACAACATCTGTCAACTGGTCACTCGGCAACAGCTCCATACGTGCCGACACCCCATTTCATATTGTAATTTGGTTTGTTTCTCCATGGGATCTTCATCGCGTTCTTTGATCATTTGCATGAAAGATGCAAGGATTTTTCATCCGCTCTCTTTAAAACACCCGAACAGCCAGCCCTGTTTCAATTGAAGCAGTGTTCTCGGCTGTATCGGATAACTCTTGCTATGATTGAAGTGAACGTTGTGGGGCTTGGTGGAGCTGCGGACGAGAAGCCCCTCCAATGTCCGAGTATCGAACATTGTCGTCAAAGCGAACAATGTCGAAACAAATTCTGGCAACAATGTCAAAGCGAACAATATCAAAGCCATCAATGTCAAAGCGAACAATGTCAAAGCATATTCTGGCAAAGAAAACAATGCCAAAGCAAACAACACGAAAGCAAATAAGGCAAAAGCAAATTATGCCAGAGCAAACAACACCAAAGCAAATAATCTCAAATCATATATCGCTGGCATCAAAAGTGTATCCGTCACCGCAATTTCTACTGCTTCATCGACCTAATTGCAGTTTGATCTTCAAACCAAGGATCGGAGCAACTTCCTTGCTACTGAAATAAAAGCCAACACAACACCACTGAACCCTATTCTCACTTTCTGTCCATTTTTGATGGGCAAAATTTTCAGTCACCCATCAGCATACGCACGGGTTTACAGCAACACCATATCAAGATCTGAACTTGGAGAACCAAGCACCCGAAATGCGGCTTCTTTGGACCTACTTCAAAGGCGCAGAACTAGCCTCCAAATGGGCATGATATCAGACAGAGCGTTGAGCTACGCAAACAACGTTTACTCCATTTGGATCTACAAGGAATGTATCAACACTACCTACCGGCACGTCTGCATTTGCAAGGCGGCCGTTAGTAGCGTTGGCTACAGACGGCAAATCCTCGGCGTACCTTATGGCACGATGTTGTCTGCATACAGCGCCTTCATATCGCCCTTTTCCGTTATACAAAGTGACGTAATGCAGTATGCAGCTGGGCCCTTTGAAACCGAAACCCGGGAGTGTTTTCGCCTGGCGTAAACTTGGTGCATCGGAACTACTAAAAATAAATTTAAGTCTGGAGCCTAAAGGGTACACCGAAAGAAGGTGGTGTTGTCGTTCATGAAGACCGAATACAATATGTATAAATGCGCACGTGCTTGGCGCAAGGTCTCGCGAAGATTCCTAAGTAGCGAACATAGCCCACAAGCTTTCTAACATACTCAAGGTATTGGCTTTTCGACCGTGTGACAAGATCGTTCTGCCGGAAAACGTTTTGCATACCGGACATGCGTTCATGCGATGCTACATTCTCCCGGAAGAAACGGGATGCTCCGGTTCCGAAAAGCCGTGCTTGCTCGTTGGAGCCTATATTTGAAAAGTCAACGATTTCAGGGTCTTTTTTTTTAAGAACGCCGCTCATCGTCGGCTGAAGTTGGAGTGGGATGGCTACGGGCCTGCATTCTTCTATGCTTGAATCGCTTTAGCCGAAAACCCGGTGGCAGCAACAAACCCTAGATGTTTATGTGGTCAATGCTGTGCACCTGCGTGGTTTTGTCGGGGTGTCTCAAATTAGACTGATCCGCATGCGCAGTGAGCCCTGGCACCCCAGATCGTTGTTTCTGCCCTTTGATTTCTTCTTTATCTTTGCAGCTCTCCAGGCTTCACGTGCGGGCTGGGATCTCGTCATTTTTAACCGGAAAGCGACAAGCTTGCCTTCGGTGTTTTGTAGATCTGCGAGAAGTATAAGTGAGGAGGGAATGGACTGGGCACTCGTTGTGCGCAGAACATCCCATTTGGGAAATTCGACATTTCATCCCATGCTCTCGTGTTCACTTTGGTGTCTCTGCTGACTAAGGCCCGACCCAGGCCCCCGTATGGGTGTGGTCCGTAAACGTGAATATTAGTGGCTTCAAAGAGCAGGCCGCCTCGTATGCATTGTCTCCAAAATTGAAGCGCCAAGAAAATCGTGAAAGCGCCTCGGCTACCTGTGGCCTGTGTATGGACCTTCTTAAATCTTTGCAGGCGTTTTGAGAAATCTGAGCGTTTGCGAGGACCAGAGCCAAGCCGTGCCGGCCAAAAGAGGGTCTTTTTTACGCCGTGTCGGCCAAAACTTAGACCCTCTGCCAGCAAAGACTCTCATATTTTTATGCGAGGCTGCCGGGCTGGCCTCTTGGATGGAACTACAAAAGTAGTTGTCTGGATGAGGACCAGAGTGCGGCCTGGAGTGCTCATCATATCTGAGACCCAAGCTGGGTTTGCATTCGCCTGTCAAACATCTTACAACGCACCTAAACCGCCCGAGACGGAATCCCGAGGCAGCCTGGAATTTGGGCCCCGAATATGCGCGCTCTTGGTGATACTTCCCAGCCTGGGACTCAGGCGTGGGTTTCACGAGGAGAGGCGTGCATGCGGCGCTGAGATGCGTCTCTGGTGCAGCGCCACCCACGTTCTGTGCCGGCCTGCCGCAGTCTAAGCGCTGCTGCGTCCCGGTGCGAAAGAGCGATGCAAACAAGCAATACCCAGAAGCTTGATCCGCACGCCAGACCGTTGGCTCCCGGAAAGTACCTTCCACTTTCTTCCTGACTGCTACTTGTCGGCACATTCGTCAGGACCCCGCCTCTCCTGGCTCACCTTGCATCTCCAGCTGAAGCTGTGGCCGCGGCGGATATATTTGCCACCCACGTACATGACTGATTCCCCCAGCAGTTGCTTTCATAACGTAGCGTCCTCCAAGTCGGGTCACAAACGCCACCCGAAACCAAGAATCTCAAGCATCCCAAGCATCCCAAACATTCCAAGCATCCCGGCGCACCTGCGCACTCCACCTTCCGGGAAGCGCCCCGTGTGCCGTGCATGGAGCACACCGCGTCAGCATCCAGTGTCTTGTCTCTGAGCAGCGCCGAGACATCGATGCCATCCAAATCCATGGCCGACGACCAGTCGGCGGCAAAGAAAGCAGAGACGCGCTCGCGCAGAAGCTACGCGTGCGGGCCCTGCAAGCGGTACAAAACCAAGTGCAATCTCGAGACGCCGTGCCTAGCGTGCACGTCTGCCAAGCGGCCCGAGGAGTGCTTGCTCAACCCCCCGAACCCGCCGTCGGAGGCGGAGAAAAGCCGCATCGAGAAGCGGCGGCGCAAGTCGTCGCAGCAGAAAAAGGAGGCCAGGGGCCTGCGCCGGCCTGGCGTGAAAAACCCGCGCAGCCCGGCCCACACCAGCGCGGCGGGATCGCCCCAGAACGAGTCGCTGGGCGTGGATCTCCTTTTTCCTGTGGCGCCGGACGAGGTGGCGCCCCCGCCCATCCGCGCGCCGCACCTCAAGGACTTTGGCTTCATCAGACGCAGCTACCAGGACTGGGCCAGGCAGACCATGGTGATCCCGCTCGCGGAGTTTCTCCGGTGCAAGGCCGTGGCGCGCTGCCTCTCGTACGAGCAGTTGCTCAGGTACTTCCGGCGGTTTGCCCGCTGGGACAGCGACGGGTTCCAGTACCTCGTGGACTCGCAGACGTGCTTCAACATAGCCAGCAACTTCTTGGTGAAGGTGCCCGCGTCCGCAGACGACTTGGACAGCCGCACGTTCAACGCGTTGCTGGTGCGCGGGATGTCGTTGGTGTTCTGCGTGGTGGCCATCGGCAAGGTGTTGGAGGGCGACCCGCAGACCGCGGACGTGTGCTTGGCCCTCGCCGAGGACTTCATGGTGCTTCTTGGCGAGCCCGAGAGCTTGGGCGACTTCATCCACCTCGGCATCTTCGTGTTGGTCAACAAGACGCCGTCGTTGCTCCTCAGCAACCCGCTCCGCATCTTGCGGCTCTTCAAGGACTTCACGCACAAGATGAACGCGTCCGCCGAGGTGCTGCGGTATCTCACGATGACAGACGCCGCCAAGCGCGAGAAAAACGAGGAGTTCATTGCGTTTGCGCGCGTGTGGGTGCTTGCCCGCTTTGCCGAGCCGGACGTCAGCGTGCTCAGTGCCGAGGGCAGCTTGCAGCTCAGCGTGGGCCCGGACAGGCGGCGCATCCTGCCGGACCCGGAGCTCAGCCGCCAGTTGTTCCACAGCCACGTGGACGTGTTGGCCGCGGGCTGGCAGGTGTTCGACATCGCCAACCTCATCTCGTCGCGGTACTTCCAGCGCTTCGAGAACGTGACGGACGTGCCGCTGCTCATCCACGCGTACCTCCTGCTGTACCTGGAAATGGGCATGGTGATCGCGCCGCTCACCAGCAAAATGTACTTGGCGCTCCAGAAGGACTGCACCACGGTGCCCGCCGTGGCCGCGTACAACGACGCCATCTTGGTGCTGGTGCTCGTCAACTACTTCTCCACCCGCTGGCTCGGGCTCGTCAAGGTCGAGCGCCCGCACTTCCCGGCGCTCCGCTTCGCGCACTACGTGTCCACGCTCATGAGCACCTTCAACTGGATCGAGGAGTTGGACTTCCGCCTCTTCGACGGCTCCGGCGCCATCTACGCACTTGTGCTCGGCAACAGCAAGAACTTCCTGTTTCTCCAGATGTACCTCCAGCTCACGCACCAGGCCGTGTTCCTCGTGGTGCTTGCGCAGTTCCGCTCGCCGTTGTCGCACCTTCACCATCGACCTCGACTACATCTTCCGCTGCGTGTACGCGTCCATGAGCACCGTGCTCCACAAGACGCGCCGCTTGGAGCCCTTCTGCCTCATCCCGGCCGTGGCCGACATCTTGGCCGTTGTCGAGGCGCTCGAGGAGTTTGCGCTCAGCACGCCCATCTTGGCCGACGACCCGGACGAGCTTCTCGACGCGCTCCAGACGTGCGTGGAGCCGCTGCTCTGGCAGGCCATGACGCTCATGCTGTTCGGCCTGCTGGCCACGTGCGCGTCGTACGTCGAGCAGTTGTGGCAGCTAGCCATGCAGGTGCAGAGCAACGGCACCGACGAGCTCTACATCACCAAGGATCTCCGGCTCGACACGGCGTTTCTCCGCAACTTCGAGACGTCGTTCGAGCCGTTCCGCTTCTCGCAGGACTTGGCCGAGCAGTACATCCACGACGTGGTGGACCCTGCCATGGCACTGCTGGAGGAGGGCGAGGCGAGCGACACCCTGTAGGCGACGGGCCGCCGGGACCAGTGGACGGAATGGGCGTGGACCAAACTGAACTTGCCTCGCGAGACTATAGAAGAAGTGAATGTGAACTCGACTGGGGGAAGGACAGATGAGACAGACGCGAGAGTACCATATATGATGCGTGCAAAGGACCGAGGCTGGCGAACAAGACCAAAACATTACATATGAACCAAAATGCGAGCATGACCACCAGTCAAGAAGAGGATCCCCGGCCGGCCTGGAAACGGGATCTGCGTAGGCGCGTGATACAGAGATGTTTTTGGATGGGGAGAAGCGATGAATCAAGAACGAGACAAGGACCGGCGAAGACAAGAGAGAAAGGGTGTTTTGGAACTGAGAGCGCAAGCTAGGGACGGGGTAGTTGACAGCAGTGTCAGGTACATGCGTTAGAGGGGTAGTTGAGTCGGACGTTTGACTACGAATATAAGCTCGACGCATACGTGTCGTGGATACATAGAGTTGGGATGCCCTACATGAAGTAGACGTCAACAAAAGTATGCCGAAGGGAGGTTAGATCGCTGAACAGGAGAGTATATCGCAAACTTCGTATTGATGAATGAAATAAGTGGGAACATTCCAACAGACAACAATAGTTTGGGACAGACGGAGTAGAAGGAGAGAAGTGTTCCATCAAATGTGATTGCGAGCACAATAAATGAAGAACATATGATAGAGTTACACAGAAATAGACGAACCTCAGCCGTACGCCAACATCTAGGAACTAAAACTGGATGCACATCAACGAAGTCGATTGCAAGGTCCATTTGAATGGCTTGCTGAAGAGAGAAGGAGTTTAGAATAATTTTCAGGAGCGTGATTGGAAAAGAAGAATACTGAGTAAATGAATGTGGTTTTGTTCATACATGTGCAATAAATCTAAACTAACAACTGTGAGAGAACGGGCGCCAGGATCGACACGAAAACACGAACACCGTACCACTCACGCGTATGGCAAATGCCCAAGATAATTCCACACAGCTTCGAATGACGTATTTCTCAAGTGAACAAAGCCCAAATTTTCAAGCCCATTGATCAGCACCTTGATGCGGTGTGGTTGGAATAATTGCTGCATGCTTGGGCGTGACGATACGGTTACAAAACAGTCGCCCGCAAATCGAGTTCACCGGCGGCTCCTTGGTAATTTCCCAGATCGACATTACGCTGGATTCACCAAATCAGCTTGAATGGAGGACAGGTCCAAAAAGCTTTTCCAAGCTGTAGTATAGACAAATCCTTGGAACAGAGTAGTCAGTTTCATGGGTTCGAGAGACGAAGCTCTGTTTCTATTGATTTTTAATCATGCTTTGGCATGTGAGTATTCAGAGTATCTTCGCCCTGCTGAAATGAGGAATTGGTCCAGGGGTATGAAAAAGAAACTAAGCTAGAGAAATCGACCTGTAGAGCAAACACAGTCTTTGTATCGATAAAACCGGACACCGTTTCGTCCGAAAATCAAACGATGGTCAATTTTCGTACTTTTAAGCATAGAAAGTGCTGGCCCATATAACTGCACATACCCGGCGCTAGGAAATGCTTCGACACATCTATTGCTATATGAATTATGTTTCTGCAAGAAGATCCCAATGCGAATTAAGAGGGAGCTAAATCAATGTAGAATGTTCAAGTTTTGGGTCTCAAAAGGCAAGAGAATGTTAGGATCATGCATTCTAAGCCCGTCAATCTCAAAAAAACGTTGGGTCAAGTTGAGACGTGGAAAACCTGTAAAATTTAAATTTTTATATGACCACAATCACTTATGATCACTTGAGAGACGCAGAAACTGGGAATAAGCTCCTTTAAACCCGCTTCAAACTCATGAGCCGAAGCATCCTCAACGAAATGTTTCTCTTACAGAGAGTCAACACGATAACAGATGACTGCGAAGATTTTTTATCACGTTTCATAAAACCTGTAAGACTTCTCGAAATATTATGAGGCTGGCTGAAAGTTTGCTGTTATATGTGGTAGTAGTTATTTCAAAGTTACAGAAGCAACAGAAGTAAAAGCCCAAAACTAGCGGTGTAAACAGCATAATTCCGTGGGCTCTTGGTTGTGATTATGTCATATTTGGACGTACTATTATCAAGCGCCATATACTCCTTTTTGGGCGTCTTCCTAGCTCTGGCTTATTCATGTAGATTTGATAAGATTAATTTATGATTGAAGTCTGAATCATATAGCACAGTTTCAAAATCATGAAGCACACAGTTAAGTGCAGCTATATAATATACGATACTAATGTGGGTGGGTAAAGTATATGGTCTGGAGACAATTTCGAATGCATAGCAATGGGTGGCTATGATCTTTCAAAAAGTATGGCACTACCAGAAGCCAACAAATTTGCTTGGCGAAGAGTAAAGCTTCGGGCAAGAATGCAAGCTTGTGGGGGAAAAAGTCTGGCATTAGTCTATCACTGAAGATAAAAGGCTGTGATAGTTTCTAGTGCTCAGTACGTAAGTGCTCCAATCTCAGGCACAAGTGAACCACAATATTTTTCTATGAGGAGTTTACTCCACATTTTAAACGCCTTAAAAAATTAAATGATTTAGACCAGACATTAGAGAATTTTCATTTTTTCTGATCATTTGAAGGCTGGTGAAAATTGTAGTAGACTTCATTGTTCTTTTGAGCTACTCTGTTTATTGTCGCGAAAAATATTGCTTATCCAAGAATATTACAGATTCTTTCATGTACCCAAAAAAAAGCACCATCGACAAAACATATAAAAGGGCTGTATATACAGCAGCTTTCCCGTATAAAAGCCAGAAAGCACACTTATAATTTTTAGGAATATTGAGCGAAGACCTCGTTTTCCTGAGGATCAAAGACTAATAATTCATATACCATGAAACTAGGAATCTGGGCTGTGGCCGTGGTCTTGTCAATTTTCCACAGCGTGGCGCTTTCACAAGAAATTACCAATCACACTTGGCAGATACATCCTCGTGAAACAAATCTTACGGACCTCACTGTTTTAACAGATATCAAATACACGGTTATTAACAGTCCTAGTGTTATTGTGCAGGGTACTTTTTGGAATAACGGCAGTTTTTTCGTCTTCAACAATGAAAGGCCTATTCAGTTGCAAGTAAAAGGACCCGGGTTCCACAATTTCGGAACCATCTCTTTCAACTCTATTTCCTATGTCGAAGAGGCTAGCTATGCTATTTGGGCTGGAGGTGCGTTTTGGAACTCTGGCACCATATATTTTGATGCGTGTAAAACGCCATTTGAAGAGGTGCCTTTCATTATCAGCTCCACTAGATTATGGTATAACGAAGGCCGAATGATTTTTAAAAAGACTGCAGGGTCTATTGGCGAGCTATTTGCTGGAGGAAGATCTGTCAAAGACAACTCTTTAGCCATTACCAATCAGGGTACAATTTCTTTGTACAATACCCACTGGGGCGTGCAGACAAACATCAATGGAAATGGCTGTATCGTTGTGGGCTCCGGTTCAAGACTCAACTTGGATTTTGCAAGTGGCGCTCCCAGACTATTTACCTAGAGTCTGCCGACTCAGTGTTGGGAATTCGAGGATTAAGCACTTCGCGTCCTACTCCCTTGATCCGTGTGACAGGTCTTGGAGAAGCCAATATGATTGACTACGATATTGAATATGATATCGAGGGGAATGGGTTTGAGTATTTTGGAAATGCAGGTTTGTTGGCGATTTCCTACTTCGGGAGGCCGGTGCTTTCGATAAAGGTTGGGGCAAGTTATGATACGGAGTACTTGAGGTTTTCAAGGGGTCCGCTTGGCACAAGATTAAATTACCAGATGCCAAATCCAAACAGGGTCCCCAGTAAATGCTCCTTTGAGCTGATATATCCAGATGGGACAAATCCACGTTCTCCGATATCTTCGGCTGAGAGTCCCGCAAGCTAGTCCAAACGGTACATCATTTTGTGATTCCGAAAGAATTCTTTATAAAAAGTTATTGATTGTTTTATTACCCTCTATTGCATAAACAAGGTTTAAACATACTTGAACAACGAAACAATCACCACCAGATTTGAACTAAAGCTATAAAATTGAAGAAGAATAAAAGCCAGCCGTAAGAAACATTTTCTCATTCATCAATCTGTTTTGTTTTTGATTCCGTTAGCCAGCCCGAAATTTGCTGTTTTGTAGCTAGTCTTTGCTTCCAGAAATTGGTAGCAAACATATTTTAGTGTTTTCGTGGAGAAGATGACCCTTTTTTGAAGCACGGTCAAGGTTGTAGCAATCTGGCCTGACCACTGTAATTTGTAGAGCTTAGTGCTTTATCTATCAGACTCGTGCCAATCAGAAATCAATATAAAGAGTGTACAAAGACATCGCTACTCTCAACAAAGTACAGACTCGCTCGGCTCGTCCAGCATTGCCAGCTCTGCTTCCATCGTCCCACAAAACATTCTGCATTCATACTTGCGCTTGAAGGAAGAAGAACAACTGGCTGGATTCAAAGCTCTGAAAAGAAGGCAGCCTTTTTGTTTCTGATATTTGCCACTACTGATTCTATTCGAAACGAGCTTCTGACCTTGTGGAACAAGATTCGCTAAGAGCCAGCTACTAGACTCTGTAGTTACTCTTGCAATATTCGAAGAAGAAATAATCAGACATCACACCACTACGCTCATCAATTTCAAACACAATTGAATTTGGTATCACTCGAAGTAGACGCAATTTAATTTGAAAGAACTCTAAGTCCCTGGGGCCTTACAAAGTTTGCTAATATTTGAAGCTGGTGTGAAACTTTAGAGAGAGCATACAAAAGCCCTCAGGGCTCAAGTCCTATCTAAAAGTGCTAGAATGCTTCCTCCAGGAAAGATAAACTTGCATTTTCCATAAATTAAAGTGATATGTTTTGGGCCATAGTCTGCCACATCCCAGGAAGATTGGCCAAAAGCTTGACCGCAACAATATATCATTCTTTTAATTATAAGGGAGGAGAAAAAAAACATCTAATTTCATTTGGCTTCATTTCGGGCTTACAGCTCAATTTTTTGATCTATTTCGAGATAGGTGATTGAAAGCATGTAATACTGTGGCTCGATCATAATAGCTCATGACTAAAGTCTAGATATGAATTAAGTGTGTCAAGCCTATGCAGAACAATTGAGTGTGTCACAGGCTTTTCAATATGTAGAGTATTTTTTTATCAAAAGATTTCGCTTTGCCTTTATAGCCGGTAGTGTTTTTAAACGGTTGATAATTCCAAAACATCATAGGCATATGTTGGTGCGGACAGATCAGAAAGTAAAAACCTACTGTGGACACGGCACGAGAATGTGCGGCACAAGATTGTACCACCAGAAAAAGAACACCAATATGTGCATGGGTTTGCAGAATAGTGGGCCTGAGTACTTAGTGAGCCAGAAAACAATCTATACCAGTACTGAATAAAGCAGAATTTGCAAGGAGCCCGAAATACCGAGTATAGTGTATAGCACGGAGCAACGATCAAATAGTGCACCCAGTCCTTGGAAAACGCCGAGGACCATGGCTGCCGCACACTTTCAAGAATACTTGATAAGCGTATGAATCCATGGCACCCAAAACATGGGCAGGTTTAACGAGAAAGAAGAGAAGCACATGAGCGCATCAGCTATGGCGCCTAAAGTTTCAACGCTAGCGTGGGCATCAGTTTTCATTGGCTGCGAAACGGTTGCGCGAACACGAGTTCAACCAGGGCCAGCTTCGCAAAAAAAAAGAGAATAGTAAAGAAGACAGGAAGGACCACCATAAGAAACAAAAGAGCGGCAAAAAAAGACAGTGTCGTCGAAGAAGAGAGGGAAAAGATTTAGGACAGGGAGCCACAAAAAAAACAAAGCAAAGGAGAAACAAAGCAAAGGAGAAACAAAGCAAAGGAGAACCAATTCAGAGGAGAACCAGTTCAGAGGGAGAGGCCAGAAAGAATGCGTAAAGACACCCAGGCCCCAACAGCATGCGCGGCGGGATGAAAATTACCTCCGACTCAGCAAAGCCCGTATCAGCAAAATTATGACACGCTTAGCCCGCCACACGGGCACGTGACATGGCCCAGCGCCATACGGAAATTGCAAATTCCCCAGATTCCACATATCTTTGCACTCATGCCCGCGGCCTGGCACATTGGCCGGGCCCGTCGCCGTATGCATTACTTAATGGCCAGTGTCGGTTTAGTTTGGTCTTTTACCCAGGCGCCGCACTGGAAAAAACCCGCGCCGCGGCCGTAAATCCCAATTGCCATACCGGTTCCCCAGACCAGCGCCGCCCCGTTTTTCGTACTTGGCCTTTTTCTTCGACTTGTCTTCGAAATTCCTCCTTGCGCTTTTTTTAGCTATTTTGTGCCGCTGGACCACGTGCAATGGAGGTGCCGCCAAAGCGGGCCCGGCATGGCCGACTTTCCGCTGGCCGGGGCCGACTTTCCCGGATCCAGACGTCATAGTGCCCGCCCAGCTATTGTTTGAGGGAGCAGCCGGGGTGTTTGGCGTTTGGGTTAGCCCCGGCACACCCGTACCTCCCGCCCCCTTCTGCGCACTGCCCCCTCTGGGCCCACCTGCTCGCCCCGGCCCAGGCTTATCGCAGGGCCTCGCCCTCCAGGCCCACCATTGCCGCCCGCGCCAGCTGCGAAAATAGGCCCGCCAATCGCCTTTGCCTGGGCCCCGCGCCTCAGTGCACGGCTACGGCTCCCCGTTTTTTTTTCTTGAACATCAACTACACGTTTTGTGGACCACACCCGAATAATCCATTGCGGCCCAGGTTTCTGTCCTCGCCACCGCCGAAACGCATGCCTTGTCCAAGAGCACGCCCGCCACCCCGCCCCGCTGGTCCCTTGCTCCAGGCCTCGTTCTGACCCTTGCCCCAGGCCCCACCACTCCACGAAACACAAACATGGCGCCGCCCCGACCAGACGCGGGCCCTGGGCCCAGAGCCGGGCCCACAGACCGCTCCACCGGCCCTGGCGCTTCAAACACGGGTGGATACGACGCTCCTGCTGCTCCACAGTCGCAAACGCCCGCGCTTACTAATGCGGCGGCGGGCCCGCAAACAGAGCCCCCGGCCGCTCCGGAAAGCGCAAACACCGTCCCGGCCGCCCCGGAGAGCACGGTGAACACCGCCCCGGCAAGCTCCACGGGCGCTGGCCTGGCCCCTGCCGAGGGCCTGCCGCAAAACGACTTCTCGCAGACCTTCACCTTCAACCCGAACATGCCCATGTCGGTGCTATTCGCCGAGCGCCTCCACCGGTATCTCCAGAACCCAGAAAATCCAGATCACCTGGAAGAGGGCCGGGATCCGCCCAACGAGCGTTCGCAAGAGCCCGAGGACGCACACCCACCTCTGCCCGCCTCGCCCACCAGCTTGAACATCTTCGACGAGATTCTCGACACGGTTCTAGGGCGCCGGTCCACGGAGGAGAATCTGCACAGCTCTGCCGCGGACCAGCGCCCGCTGCCTGCAGCTGGGCAGAACGAGCCCACAGGCCTGGACGCCTCGGGAAACACCACCAACGTCGAAGGCACCACCGTATTCACGACGGGCTCCCCGGGAGGCCACCCAGGCGCCATAGTGATCACTGTGAACTACATGTTTATGGACAGCGCGGAAGAGCCAACTCCAGGACGCACAGGGTCGCTCGTGGTCACCATCCCCAACAACGCCACCAACCGCGAGCCGCACATTATCTCGCTGTTCATTTCGTTGGCCACGCGCATGGCGTACTCTGCATTGATAAACAACGCTCCCAAACCCAAGCCCGGCATTCCGCTCGAGAAGTTTCAGTCATTCAAGTCGTTGAACGTGGAGGATCTCGCCGACAAGACGTGTGCGATCTGCTTCGAGCAGTATGAGTGTTCACCACCGATAAACGTGGAGGACCACGTTATCACGAAGAAAAGGAAGCTCAGCTCAACCATGCATGTGCCTTCTGCGTCGGCCACGCCCGAGCCGTCTCCGTCTTTGTCAGCACAGATTGAACGGGAGAACCCGCCTTCCGCGGACTCTAATAATACCCCCCAGAACGAAACCGCCGACGAGAACCCGAATGACGAACAGGGTGAACAGAAAGTTTATTTGTGCGAGCACGAAGAAGAGTTCGACCACACGCCTCTACAAATGCCTTGCAACCATGTCTTTGGTCGTTCGTGCTTGGCTCATTGGCTCAAGGAGAACACGAACTGTCCGCTCTGCCGGCTCTCTGTGGCTGATCCCGATCAGGCGCCTGCAAGGAGCACTGGAATCCCGCCAATTAGTTATATTCGCTTTGGCGGGCTTGACGACCTCACCACAGAACCCTTGAATCCTCCTAGCACAGCTTCGCAGCCAAATGGAGACTCGGGTACGTCAGATACCAGCAGACAAAGCTCTAGTGGTACCAACTCCACGCAGTCTACGGGACAGGGGGATCAGGGGTCACATGCGCACCATGATGGAGGTAGCCTTCCAGCGATATTGCGCAGGGCAACTCTGGTGATCTTTAACCAGTCTGCAAGAAGAGCTAGAGACTCCCCCGCTGCCTCTCTCGAGGCGTCGGGTGGCACGCGAAGTTTACGAGAGCGAAACCCTCCGTTCTCCCCGGTCATCAACAACATCCAGAACTATTTCAGAAGGGCAAGGAGACGGAGAGACGATCTCTCAGGTTCCAATTCCCTTTTTGCATCGGGCGTATCTAGCCGCAGAACTCCGAGTGGAGTGGAAACAGTGGCGTCTGACAGCGACTCCCTGCAAGGTCGCTTTAGAAATTCAAGCATGTTTGCGAGTGATTTTGGGTCCAGTGCCAGGTCATCAAGGGAAACGAGGTTGCAGAGCGCAAGTACAAATGAACAAGCGCAGAGCTCTTCCGCTCAAGGCCAGCAGAATGGCAACCAAGACGGCACACAGGAGCAGGCGGACCCCCCTGCTAATGACGGCAGTGCTTGAAGTTGATGTTTATTATTAAGAAGTCTGGGTTTCAAACACACATTGGGATTTTATATACAGCTTATGGACTTCCAGATTGATTATAATAATAGAAGGTCATCCTTCCGTCGGTTTGTATTTGAGGTGGCATTTACATGCGGGTGCTCTACACGGATACGCCGCCTTCTGCCTCTAGCTTCTGTCTGTTCTTCTTTTCTTTCTCGGCTCTTACAGACTCGCGTCTCTTCATTCCTTCCTCGATTTTCCGAAGACGTCTTTCTTCCTTCGTCTCTTCAGCCTTTATCTCCACAGGCCTCATCTGCTTGATCGCTGCCTCCAACTGGTCCATTTTTCGGAAGTTCTCCTTAAACCGGTCTAACGAAAGCTGAGTGATTATTCCCAAGTACTCAGAGCTCACCAACAGAACAAGCCTCTCGCCATGGAGAAAGCCAATTGGAATGTCCAACTTGATCAGAATCCGGATCCCGACAATGTGATTGCTTCCAATTCCGGACTCTCTGAACCCGCAGGCCATAGCCGTCGAATATAGCAAGTTGGCGCTCGCCGAGTCTCGGCATTTCACGTGTAAGATCAACGGTTCGAATTTGAAAAGTATGTATCGTGTGGCCTCGCCGTTTTCGCCCAGACCCGGCGACGCCATGGGCTCATATGCAAAGTCGATAGACTCGTGCCATGCAAGCAAGGATTCTGGGTCGTGCGTGACAAACAACCATCGGCCCTCATGGCCCTTTGCTCCGATTTGTGTTTTTGTCTTGTTGCCCTCAAGAAATACAGACACCCTTCCTGAACACAGTGATGTGGTGACCATATCGGGATGGGAATTGATAGTGTCTATTAATGAGATGCAAAGAACATCAATGGTGCCTTTGGGAGAGGCATCCGGGGCAGCAGCAGAAGTGCCCAGGATTTCACGCAAGATCAGCTGTTTTTTCTGGTCAAACGGGCTCAGCATGTGTGGCTCTGGAGATGCAGTGATGATGGGCTACAGACTTTCCTGCAGGAAAAGTTAGAATAGGATTGATTTTAAGGAGGGAGAATATTCAAGATTTGAAGACAGGCCGGGGCTGGGTCTATCTGGGGTTCGTTAATACATGGCATCGCCGTACTGCACCCGGAAATCCGTCTTGCGTCACGTGACATATTCGGTCATGTTGGAAGAACCAATTTGTGCAGATGCCAGAGTTGGGTATCACGTGGCAAACACAACGGCTGGATGATTCACTGGCGCATCATTATTATTGAAAATCTGCGGCCAGGCCTGGTGTCGATTATGTAATACTTATGCAATAGCTTTATGGTCAATTTTTCGAATGCAAATTTTTATGACTATTGCTTGAACAGAGGGAAAGAAGGAGCCATTTGCACTAGTGAAATTACGGAGTGGATGTTTTCACAAAGCCTGGAATAAAGAAGGATCAATCGAAAAGCCACAAAGGAAATGGCCCATTCTCAAGCTGCGTATATTCGTATACGAATTATACGTTCGAACACCACTTCATATTTTGTTGACTGCGTTCATAGGATGCTTTCCATTATTGCTGTCACATATGACGCACTTGTACCGAACCTGTCATGCCTGCCGCAAAACACCAAGAGTCAGCATCTCAGCCATGATGCATGAAACCGTCTATTCGTAAGAGTTATTGAACCCATCGAAGACTTCCTGTGATAACTTAACGCGAGGGTCTGACTCAACATTGGTGCAACAAATCACCGCAATGCGAGCATCAATTTTCTCTCTTCTTCTGGGTTGAATTGAAACAACATCTTCAACACGGGCAAAAGCTGTTCTCTTTGCTCTTTGTGTTCGAGAAAACCTACCAAGACATTCTTCAAGTATGCCACGTTTGTTTCTGGTGACTTAATAGCCGCAGACCTCGTCTCTTGGTCCATCGCCGCCGCGGCTCCTTTTTGCTCCTGGCTCTCCTTAATTTGCCTATATTGATGCGTCACGTGCTTGTAGTTCTTCGAGAGTCTCTCGAACTTTAGTGTGGACTCTTCATTTAGTTTCTTGAGAATACCGTTGAGATTCTCACAGTCTTTCACTTTTTTGCTAGATGCCTGGAGAGACGCCCGTAACTCATCCACCATATTCTCCAAGTCTCTTTGTTTCTGAAGGTCCTCGAAAGAAGCCTGGTGCTTTGTGTTTCGGAGAGGTTCGTATTTCTGACGGACCTCTTCACATGTTTTTTCGAGCTCAGTGATCTTGGCCACGTATTTCTCGCACAAGTGTTTAAGCTCTTCGATCTCTCGCTGTCTTTTTTTCATCTGAACCTGGAAGTTGGCCTCAGTTTCGCTCTGTTCTTCACTCAAACTTCTCATTTCACTCTTAAGTTCATTGCACCTTATAGTGTGTTCTTCCTCCGCCTCCAAGAGAATTCTCCTCAATGTCGATGACTCTCTCGTACGCTCCTGCAATAAGTTTTTGGCCTCAAAAAGCTCTTCTTGGAGATCGTCAATTTGGTTTTGGGACTCTTTAGCCTTGCTCGCAAGCTCTTCGTGTTGCTGCTTGTATTCCAGAATCTCATCAGAAGAACTGGCTCTTGTTCTTTGCAAGGCCTCGTATTTGAGTTTTAATGCCTCGAGCTCGGTCCCTATTTTCTGACGGCTTACTTGGAGATTAGATACCTCCGACGCAAGCGCATTGGCTCGCTCGATGGCAGATTGCTGCTTTTCCATCATTTGTGTCTTTTCGTCTGTGAATCTTTGGTTTGTTGCGCGGAGGTCGCTGCTTGTAGCTTTTAGAGTGGCGATTGTGCTGTTCAAATCATCCCTTTCCCTGTTCAATTTCTCCTGCGTATCCTTGAGCTCTTTGATTTGTTCGTCTTTGTGCGAGATTGAGGATTGAAGAGAGGCGATTTCAAGCTTTAAAGATGCGTCAGCACTCTTGAATTTGGAGAACTCTTCGATTCTTTCCTCGAGCCTTTTCTTTTCGACTCTGAGAATATCCATGTTTCTCTTGAGTCGAGACAGCTCTTCCTCCTTGTTAGACGCTGTTTTTTGAAGCTCGATCAACTTAGCCTTTGTGTCATTGAGGTTGGCTTGCACGTTCTCGAGTTCTTCACTTAGCCGGCTGATCTCCGAGTTGTTGCTCTCAACAACTCTTGCATTCTTCTCCGTCAAGGATTTCAATTCCAGTTCTTTCTCGTTGAGCGCTTCACTAAATCCAGACTCCTTCTTTTCCAACAAATCACGGAGAGAAATTTCTTTTTTTTTCAACTCTTCTATTTCGGCTGCATGTTCGGATTGCCACTTTGTCTTTGTGTCTTTCAAATCCTCTTTTGCTGTCACGAGTTCATTTCCCAAATCTTTGAGCAGGTCTCTCAATTGCTCGAGATCTTCGCTTTTTTCTTGGAGTTCTTTTTTGGTCGAGCGAAGATCTTCTTGCACGCTTGTTGCGTCCATTTTCTCTCTCTCCATTCTTTTAACGAGATCCTCTTTTTCTTGAAGATCTTGCTTCAATCTAGTGAGTTCATTTGCATTTTTTTCAATCTCAACAGTCGAGTCAGAGATCAGCTGTTTCTTCTCCACCAAGACCTGTTTCAAATGTTCGATTTCTTTCAAAAGCTCTGTCTTTTCTGCCTCGACTGCCTCAACTTGAGCAATGAGGTCAAGCCTTTCTTTCACGAGTTGCTCTTCTTCTTTAGTAGTCTTTTTTTCTTCATTAGCAGACACAATTGCTGCTGGTATTGAGCGGTTATTCTTTTTGCCTTTCTTCTTTTTGCCCGTGTTTGATTTATGGTTTGAAGACTGTACGCCCGCATCAGGATGTAATGTCGATGGGTCATGCACCTTGGCTTGCGCAAGCTCATGTTTTGTGTTTTCAAGCTCCGCTGACAAAGCGCCGGCTTCTTCCGATTTCACTTTGAGCTCGTCTTCGAGAAATTTGATTTTGACGGCAGTTGACTCGGCGTCGCCATGTGTTTTTTTAGCTGTTGATTCCATGGCTTCGTTCACATCCTTAAGCTCAGAGAGCTGCTCTCTCAAATCTTGAGCTTCTGAGCGCAATACCCCAGACTCATTCCGGAGTTCTTCCACGGTTTTATTGGATGCCGCTAAATCTTGTGTAAGAATCTCCTTTTCTTTTTGTTGATCCTTCGATTGAGCAGATGCTTGTAGTTCCGCAAGGCGAGCCTCGTACTCCAGTACACTTGTTTCAGCATTTTTCAACTTGAGTTTGAGACTCGGAAGCTCAGCAACATCCAAATCGTAAGCCTTCAACTTCTCCTCATAATTCGAGGCTTCAGTCTTTGCCCGAGAGACAACCTGGTCGATTTCCTTTTGCATAGCTTCTTGGGTTTTGTTGATCTTGTCTTCGAGACGTTGTTTTGTGTCGGCAAAGCTGTTGTTCGCGTCTTCAAGCGCCTGCTGTTTAGCCAGCAATTCGTCTCTCAATTTCTGAATTTCGGCGCTGGATTCAGTGCTAGCAGATGTCTCAGTACTGTTGGCAACAGAAGCGGCAACCTCGGCTTCAAGAGCTTTGATCTTCTCCTCCAACTGCTTGACATTTGCGATGTACTCGGACTCGGCGTTGATTTTTTTCGCCATATTTTCTTCGAATGCTTGTAAAGATTTTTGGGACCGTGCCAAATTGCTCGTTAATTCTTCATTTTCTCTTGCTAGCTTGGAAGCTTCAGTAACAGACCTTCGCAACTCATTGGCCAGCAATGTGGCCTTCTCCGTGAGACCGTTAAGGAAGTCGACCAAAAGCCCCGCGTCCGAAATAGACAGTACGGGTGTGACTTCACTCATCACTTTCTCGAACGCCAACATAAGCTCGCCCTTTTTCTTCTCGGTTTTATACGCATCTAGAAGTAGTGGATACTTCTCCTCGTACTTCACGAATTTTTTCAATTTTGCCCGAACCACAGGAGGCAAGTCCTCTAAGTCTATATCTTGAAGGGCGTTTGGAGAAACCAGTTTCGACACTGGTGTATCTTCCGTTTCTTCCAGCGAGGCTTTATCATTCCGAAGTCCCGAGGACATTTCGGCAACACCGTTAGATGAAGATTTTGTCATGGTATTTTTCAGAACTGTGGGACTGCCTGGCAGCTCGTTCCGACTTTCGTTGGTCGTTGGCTCGTCGTCTGTAGGTTGAGTGAGATCACCAATTTCTGGTGTTCTCTGGCTAAGTAGCCTCAGGGAGTTTCTCAATCTTTCTATCAGATCACCATTTTTCTTAAGCGGATCCACCTGCTGAATTTCATTGAAGCTTTTCGCCACGTCTTCTGAGAATGACTTGAGCTTGTTGAACATTTAAAGCCGATGGTGTTCTACTGATTGTGAGTGTGCGCCCGGATAATGCCCTTTATGGTCAACTGCACTAGAACAATTGCGCTAGGATAGTAAAAAACTAACAAACTTTTATTGTGGCTTTCGAACCTATTTTCTTGATTTCGGTCAGGTGCTGTGAGCTCACAACCACCAAGTCGAACTAAACCGACTGGAGGCGCAATTGCGCCGCGTATACGCAGGACACCAGTCTGTCGGCTAGCGGCCTGACGAATGCTTTACAGCATTTGAAGCTGAGCCGTGACGCGGTTTCTCCTCCCGCGGCTCGATATTGAGGGAGAGCTGATACTGCTCATCGATGGTGGGACACTTGTCGAACCATAGATCAATGAATGTTTGGATGTCCGGTACTAGATGGAAGTTGTAGTGGACGTGTTTGAAGCGGTCGATACCCGTTACGATCTCCACCGTCTTCGCACGCTTGGCAAAATTCACCATCCGTGTCCGGTTCAAAAGATGATCCGGGTTCCCGTGGTAAACAAATGTAAGATCACTGAGGTAAACACCGAAAAAGGGTACGCAGAGTTCCGAGCCAATAAACTTCAACATGTCTCTGTATTCGTTGAAGTTCCGACTTGAATTCATGAGTTTGTTCATGTTTTGCAACCGGTTCGTGATGTCTTTGGTCACAAAGGCCCATGTCCTTTTCAATCGGTGAATAGGCGAGGAGTACAAAGCAGAAATGATCGCGGTCATTGACGAGAAGTTGTTGTACTGGCGGCACCACTCAGCCACTTGCACAAAATAACGTATGACCTTCACTCTTTTCCGCGTATCGTCCTTCCTCAAGATCAGATACGCCACAAAATTTGTCAATTGGTTCGAGGACCTGATAAAGTTTTGAATGCTCGAAATCGATTCATTGACCCCAGACCGCTTTCCCCAAACTTTGTGGATACACGAGAGTTTTGAGATATTACAATAAAGCTTGAATTCTCTCAATGTCAACTGTCGCGCCAACTCCACGTACTCAATGTCCAACAAGCGCGTCTTTCTCAAAGAAAACCCTTTAATGAGGGGAGCAGGGGCTTTCTCTGTAGCTTTCAATGGCTGTGGCCCGGTGGAAACCGTCTCGCCATTTTGTACTCTCTCGATATCTTGCACAAGTCTTTTGGTGATAGGGAATGTCTGTACTTCCGGCCGGTTTAAAAACTTAAGCCATTTTTGTAAGACGCTCACGATGTTAAAAGATTCTGACCAATGGTTTTCAAGAATAAGCTTCATCATGTTCAACACTTTGAGGCGAATGCGATCTTGTTTCATTTGCGTCCATTGAAGGTATTCTTCATAACTTAATCCTTCTGGGGCTTCGATCTGGAACCTTTGTATCAACAAATCAAGAAGCTCGGATATAGACATGATGGTTGCGAAAGAGATCAAGAAAATCGTGTTGAAAGCGTTATCGAGTGTGCTGTGATGCGTTAAGTGTGCCACCAAAGCTTTTCGTGTACCTCCTTTGATACTTCCATTCATGTCAACTAGTAAGTCGTACTCGTCATCGCCCTCCAAGAACCAGGGAGTGTCATCCTTCTTCTTGTTATCACCAAAATACTGACCGCCAGTATCTTCTGGTTTGAGACCACCAGATGTGTTGTTGCGCTCAATAATGAGAAGTTCAACGTTGAAGTTATCATGCATCACACGCGTAGCGTAATTGAGGACTGTTTCTCTTTCCTCGATCAAAACCTTGATTATAGACAATATATTGTCGCAAATCGAGGCACCGTTTTCCAACATTTCATACAACGCGTAATCTTGATCGAAGGTGATGCGCTCATCGTGCTTATTTTTTTGTTGATTTGATAAGATTTGACTCAAAAGCATAGCAGACTTTTCAAGTGGTTCTTTCATGGCATCACGGCTGTAACTGAAATCCTCATCCTTCATACTTGCAAAGGCGTCTGGGTCTTCTAGTGTGAGAGCTTGAATATTGATGATGATTTTCGCGAGAGAATCGTGGAGGTCTTGCTTGTTCTGGAAAAACTCTAGAACGACCGGGTGTTCGAACGCCACGGTGGTATCCAACGTGTTGATTCTGGCCAGAACATCTTCCGGTGCCGACTCATCTGAGGAGGCCTTTTTAACGAGACTGAAGAGCGTGAAGTCGAAAGATTCGAGGAGGTCAACCAAGTGACTTGCATGATGAAGGTACTTGTACATGACTCTGATGATGTCCTCGTTTCGGGAATTCAACAATGCTTCGTTGTAGTACATGTGCTGCTTCGAGGCATCAAGATAGCCCAACGTCTCGTCAGTGAATCTCTTGACTTCGTCCGTGTATGACTTTGCGCGGTCATAGGCGGTGTTGTCGATGATTGTTTTGAGATGGAACTTGTTCTTCAAGTGGTCCCCGCTCAAATTGAGGAAGCGGTGGCTCCCCGTGAAGAAGGGATTGCACCAGTTTCCTCCATTGAACTCATTGGAAATGAAGCGGGGGTAGACTTGCGGCAAGACGTTGAACCTGTCCTCGCCCTCGTCTTCGGAGATGTCGGAGCTGTCATAGTCACGGGCGTGAACCTGCTTATCCTTGGACAAGTTCACGAAGATGTCGATCAAGCTGTTCATCTTGGAGCGGACCATGGCAATGTTGCCTTCGATCTGCAGCAAGTAGGAGACGAAGGAGTCGTCGCCGGACGCCACGCAGGATAGCGAGGCGCTGTTCTTTGAGGAGGCGGGGAATTGTTGGATGGTGGTGTCGCCCGAGCCCCGCGACGAGGCGCTCGGCCTCTCGTGCGGGGCGCCGCTGGTGGACTTGTTGAGGTTGTGAATGCCGAGGGTGAGGTATTCCTCGCCCACCAGGCCGTCGGAGTAGTGCATGACACTCAAGTGCAACAAGCTGTTGATGTACATCTGCGCAAACGCCTCGGACACTCTGCGGACGCGGTGGCGGATGGACCTCTCGAGCCTGGTGTCGACGAAGTCCGGCTGCGTCAAGCGCGCGGCGTTCATCATGATGGACACGGTCTTGGTCAACTCCGACAAGTGCATGGCGAAGAGCTGCTTGTTGGACGTCTCGAGCGCGCGCCACGTCAAGTCGAGGAGGTAGTTGTGGTGGTCGCGGAGGTCCGTCCAGCGGGAGATGTCCGAGAAGTCCGAGTAGAAGAGCCCGGGCGTGATGAAGAAGGGCCGCGAGAAGTTGTGGTACGAGGACGCGCTGGTCTGCGACATGGTGGACGACGTGGAGCCGCGGGCGGCCGAGTCGTCAAAGGACTTGCCCGCCAACGAAGAGCGGGAGCTCAGCGCCAAGTCCATGCTGGCCAAGGCGGCGCCGAAGTCGCTGGGGAAGTGCTTGAGCGCGAGCGACACGTCGCCCGTGGCCTCGCGCGACGGCAAGTCCACGCACACGCCGGCGGAGTCCGCCGCCGGGCTCATGCGCGCCAAGGGGAGCGCCGCGCAGTGGATGCCGAGCTCCTCGCAGTAGTACACGAGGCTGCCGTTGTCCGCGAGGCGCAGGGTCCAGATGACGTTCTTGCCCTCGGCGTCCTTCCAGCGCGCCACCATGTCCTCGGCGGCCAGCACGGGCGTCAACAGCACGCGGGCGCCGGCCGCCGGGAGCGCGCCGTACGAGCCCAGCCCCAGCGACGGCGCCACGGAGCCGCCGCTGTACGAGAGCGTGGAGGCGAACGAGGCCTGGTTCGCGCGCAGCGGCGAGCCCAGACGCGGCGGCGGCAGCGGCGGCTCCGCGCGCGGCTCGCCGCTGGCGTCCGACAGCGCAAACGACACCACGGAGTTCTTGCGCGTGGCGGGCGCCAGGTCGCGGGCCAGCGGCCCCCAGTTCTTCTGGAGCAAGCTGGTGAACAGCGGGATGAGCACGTTGGCCGCGGTGTTGGCCGCGGTGAGCGAGTCGATCTCCTGCTTGGACTGGAGCCGGTCCAAGACCGGCTGCACGTAGTTGACGGAGCGCACGTAGTTGCGGGGGAACCAGCCCCGGACGGCGGCGCCCGCGGCGCCGGGCAACACGCCGTCCCACCAGCCGGACGCGGCCTTGGCGAGCACGTGCACGGTGTCGCCCAACTGCAAGGGCAAGTGCGCCGGCTGGGTGCCGGGGAAGTCGTAGAGGGCGATGACGGTGTCGAGACACGCGGTGCCGGCTCCGGCGCCGGGCGTGGCCGCGTGAAGGGGGCTGGCGTCGGGCGCGGCGCCGTCGGGGGTCATGTCTCGCTAGGAGTCCCGGGCGGGACGCTTGGGGCGGGTGGTCGGGCCGGTAGTGGGCCCGGTTGTCTGTTTCGCCAGCGGCCTGGGACCGGCGGCGGGGGACAGGCGCGTTGGGGGCAGCAGGCGGGGCGGCGCGCGGCACAGGCAAGCCGGGGCCGGGGTTTCACAGGCGGCCTGGCGGAAGCGCAGCGGCGGGTTTGGGGACCAACGCGCGGGGGCAGGGGACGCAGAGACCCGGCGGCACAAGGAGCGGCGCGGGCCAACGGAAGGCGGCGCAGGGGAACGCGGCGGCTGTGGGGGAGGCCCGGGGCTTGGCGGCGGCACGGCGGGGCCTGGCGGCGTGGGTCAAGACTGCGGGGCAGGCAAATGACGGGGCAGGCAATTGGCGGGGCGGGCAATTGGCAGGCCGGGCAGTTGGCGGGGCGGGCAAGGAATTGACGGGGCAGGCGGCTTTGCGGAGTGTGCCTGGCTGGTACGACGTGGCGGTGGCGGCCGTGGGTGGCGGCGGGGTCTCGCGGCTAGAGGGGTGGGCGGCCAAAGAACACGTTGGTGGTTGGTTTGCGGCTGGCGGGTCCAGGGCCGAAAAAAAGTGAGGTTTGGCGCGGCGGGCCGCAGGCAGGACGGGGCCGCGGGGCGTGGGGCCAGGCGTGGCGCGGGGCCTAGGGCGTAGGGGGCTGGCGCGGGGCAAAGGGGCCTGGCGCGGGGGCGGCTGGGAAACGCCCGGCTGCCGCCAAACACGCCCGGGCCGCGCCCGCAAAACGCCGGGGCCCGGGCGTGTCCTTGGATTTCCGTGCTTCTGGAGGCGCCGGTGTTTGGGCGTGGACAGCGGCGGAAGTGGTTTGCTGGTGGACTGGGAATGCTGTTTGGAGTGCGCGGGCCTGCTGTTTAAAGTGCGCGGGCCTGCCAGTAGAGTGGAGTGCGCGGGCCTGCTGGGACCGGGGCAGGACCAGAAAGTAGAACAAAAACAGAACCAGCAAGGCGAGGAAAAACAGGACCAGCAAGGCGAGGAAAGGCAGGACCAGGAAGTAAAGAAAAACAGGACCAACGAGGTGAGGGAAAATGGAACTGTCAAAGGGAGTACCCTCGGAGGGCCAGGCCGAGCGGACGGAAGCTCGAATGAATAAAACACCGGGCGGCGTATTTTCCCTGGTGGTTTGCAGCTGCTTCCACCTCCATACTGCCGTGCCGCGAGCGGGAACAGCCAGCACATTTCCTCCAGGCGCTGCACGCCTCTGCACAAGACCCAGCATTTCTCTATAGTCATATCCATTTTTTCTCTTCACAAGTCCTATCAATCTTTTTTCGATGAAAAAAAAAAAATCAATCTTCCCTCAAAACAATGCCTATCACAATATCTTCCTTTGAAAAAACCGATCAATTTTTTCTCTGTACAAGTCCCAGCATCAGTTCTCATATTAAAAGTCCTATCAGTTTTTTCTCAATAGAATTTCCATCAATATTCTCTCTTTAAAGGTCCTATCAATCCTTTCTCAGTACAAGTTGTAGCATTGATTTTCTCTTTAAAGGTTTTTTTCTGTTCAATTCATAGCATTGATTTTCTCTTTAAAGGTTTTTTTTCTGTTCAATTCATAGCATTGATTTTCTCTTTAAAGGTTTTTTTTCTGTTCAATTCATATCAATAATTTTTTCTTGAGAAGTTTTTCCCTGTACAAATTATAGCATTAATATTCTCCTTTAAAGTTTACTCCCAGCATCAATCTTTTGAAAGTCTTATCAATTCTGTACAGTCCTATCAATCTTTTTCTTTGAAAATCCAATCAATCTTTTCTCAAAACAATTCCTAGCATCAGTCTTCTCCTATACAAGTCCTATCAATTTTCTCTCTCTGAAAGTCATATCATTCTTCTTCCTTCAAAAGTCCTATCAATATTCTCTCTATACAAGTCCCAGCATCAATTCTCTCTCTAAAAGTACTATCGAATTTCTCACGTAATTTATGTATGTATGTGTTCAACACCATTAAAGAATTACACGAGAGTGGAAAATTACGTAATCATGAATCATAGTTTTTAAATGATTTTACCTAAAGTGTCTTGTATTTGAAATCACATAAGTCGTTTTCTTTACTAACGTAGAATAAGTTCTACATTTTGAAAGTAGTGGCTTTCATGAATGTGTTAGACATACTTTCAATGAATCCCAAGATATTGAACCTTCTATTCCTATTGCTGTTGTACTTTTTAATTTATGAATATTCTAACAGAAATGAACATAGATCTAGATAGAAACAGGCCCAGCATAAATTCTCTCTGTAAAATTCCCAGCATCAATTCTCTTTTTGAAAAATAATGTGATTTTTCTCTCTTCAAAATTCCGATTAATCTTCTCTCTTTACAAGTCCTATTAAGCTTTTTCTGTACAAGTCCCAGCATCAATTCTCTCATTAATCGTCCTATCAAGTTTTTTCAATACAATTCCTATCATCAGAATTTTCCCATTAAAAGTAAAAGTACGATCAAGCTTCTCTTTATACAGGTCCGATCAATCTTTTTTCTTTGAAAGTCCTATCGATTCAACTCCGAGCATCACTCTTTCAAAGTTCAATCATTTTCTTCTCAATACAATTCCTAGCATCAATTTTCGCTTAATACAACTCCTATCATTCTTCTTTACAAGCCAGCATCATTTCTCTCTGTTTAAAAGTCCAATCAACCTTTTCTCTGTACAGCTCATAGCATTGATCTCTAACAGTCACATCCATTTTTTCTCTTGCGAGTCCTATCAATCTTTTATCTTTGAAAGTTATTGCAATCTTCTCTCCGTACAATTCCTAGCGTCCTTCTTTTCTTTATACAGTTCCTATCATCAACGCTCTTTCTTTAAAATTCCTATCAATATTCTCTCTATATAAGTCCCAGCATCGATTCTCTCTATAGCAGTTCTATCAATATTTCCTGAATACAATTTCTTGCATCAATATTCCCTCTTTAGAAGTCCTATGAAACTCTCACTACAAGTCCTATCAATATTCCCCCATTACAATTCCAATCATCAGTCTTCTCTTTCAAAGTCCTTTCAATCTTCTCTCAGTGCAAGTCCTAGCATTAGTATTTTCTCTTTAAAAGTCTTATATGTCTTCTCGAATAATTTGTAGATGTATGTGTTAGAATCCATAAAAGAAATATACGAAATTGGAATATTTCGTAATCGTGTATATCATAAATTACAGTGTGCAAGGTGGGTACAATCTCGTAAATGGTATCACCTAAATTATTTTATTATTCCCTTTGAAATAACCTAGATCTTTCTTTTTTACTAAGTGGAAGAAAACAAGCCTTGAATCCAAAGTATTAGCTTTTATAAATAAAGTTGGACATATTCTTAATAAGTCCCAGAATCTGGAACCTTTAAATCCTAATACTGTTTCACTTTCTAGTTAATAAATGTTCCGAGGACTTAGTCTGCAATTGTTGTAAAACTGTCGTTCCAGCACCAGGGAGATGTGGGACCATTCTCAACTGTCAAAAACAGTGTTTACGTCCAAAAGCATGTGGTCATAAACAAAAACCTCATAAATGCCATGGCGATGGTAAATAGTGTCCACTCTGTACGAATCATGTGCCAAAGTCATGCAACTGTGGCTTTGAGATTATCCCAAATGTATTGTGCTCCGTGGAAAATGTCTCTTGCGGCAAGATCTGCAAAGTTAGAAACGACTGTGGACACCGAGGTTGCAGGCCCTGCTCAAATGATTGCACGAAAGGCGATCATGTATCTCCGGCTTCTTGTCAATTTCTTCGCTGAAAGATCAAGAACAGTTGCCCACATATGTGTACGGCAAAATGTCATGATTGGGGCAAAACACCTTGCGATCTATCCAAGTATGCCGTTTTGTATCAGAAAAAAACATAGATATAAATATAAACAGGCCCAGCATCAATATTTTCTCTGTATAAGTCCCAGCATCAATTTTTTCTTTATACAAATCCCAGTATCATTCTTCTTTCTTCAACAGTCCCATCACTCTTCTCAATGCAAGTCCGAGCATCCATTTTCACTCTTTAAAAACCCGATTAATCTCTTTTTTACATAAAAGTCCTATCATCAATATTCTCTCAATACAATTTCTATCAATATTCTCTCTATATAAGTCCCAGCATCATTCTTCTCGTAATACAAGTCCCAGCATCATTCTTCTTTCTTTGAAAATGCTATAAATCCTCTCTCTGTAAATTTCCAGTATCAATTATCATTGGCCATACATGCTGTCTTTTTCCGCAAATGCCCTGTGTTTGGCAACTCGCTGGGCTCGTGCGCTGAGATGGCCCTGTGGTTTGGGTGCGAAAACGCTGGGGCTGCCCCCTCCAAACCCCAGCTTTTTCGCAACCGGGCTGGCCAGGTCAGACCCTGCGGATTCCGTTTTTCTGCCATATTTATCAGAGATCAGTGCTTTTTGCAGCTTGCGCCAACCGGTGCCGCCGACACTCACTGCTTTTCATTGGGTTGTTTTCATTGGGTTGTTTTCATTGAGTTGATTGCAACTAAATCGTTTTCATTGAGTTGATTCAGACTAGGCTGGCTTCACTGAGTTCGTCACTGGGTTCCCGTTTAAGTTGTTTTTCACGATGTTGACCGCACATATGTCACTGTTTATGTTGTCACTGTGTTGATTGTCACTAATCTGCTTCTTGCTTACCGAGGTCCCTGAGATACGTTTAAAGAATCGCAACTAAAGCTGGCAGACCCATGTCACCCACTATGGAGTGCTGCCTCCGCTGCCCAGACATACACGGTTCAGCACTCCCGGCTATCGCCGGGCCTTAGAGTCAACCCAAAGCAAGTCTTGTCGCTGGCAAAGCTATTTGTGGATATGATGGGCAATCAACCAGCTGGCCAACCAATGTACTGGTTGGACTTCATACCGGTCAAAAACATTAGTGGTCAGCCGATGCATTGGTTGGGCAATGGAATGGTCAATTCACATACTGCTCAATAGGAACCTGGCTAGCCAATAGATTGGTCAATAATCATACCAGTAAGTTGAAACATGGGTGATTAACATACTGATCCATGAACCTAATGGTCAATCGATACACCGGCTAGTCGATCGATATCGTGGATAATGCTCATACTGTAAAAGTGATTGAGATGATGGTCAATTAATAGATTGGTTGACAATAGTACGGTCAATCAGCACACTGGTCACCAATCTTGCTGGTTCACGACCATACTTGTCAATGAGCAGAATGGTGAATCAAAAGAATGATGAGTCGAAATTGGTTAATGAACAGAATGATGAATCAGAAGTATGATCAGTCGAAATACTAATTGATGAACATAATGGTAGATCAAAAGTATAATCAGTTAAAATACTGGTTATAGATTATCCTGGTCATTGTGCAGAACGAACCCAGTGGTTTATCAGCCAAATTACCAACAACAAAAAGGTCCATCAACATAGTGGCAATTGACAAACTGTTAAATCAACATACTGTTCAACTATCCTACTGCAGAAGAAAAAGAATGGTCTATGATCCAATAGGAGAATCAAAATTATGGTCAGTCAATACACTGGCTACTAAAAATCCTCGTCAATGAAAAAAATTGATACATTTCTCAATTATCATAATGTCATGATGGTCAATATACTGCTTAATTGGCATACTTGATCAACACAATAGCCAGTCAATACATTGGCTAAGATAGTGGTCAGTAATACACTGGCTAATCCACATGGTCGTCAACGATAGTAATGGTCAATCAGGACACAGGTCAGCAATCATACTCTTCAATGATCAAGATGGAGATTGAATTACTGGGAAATCAGCATACTGATCCATGAACCTAGTGGTCAATCGATATACGTTATCATAATGATCGATATACTGGATAACGATCATACTGGTCAATGAACATACTTAAAATGGTGAACGTCAATATCCGGTCAAAGATTCCGGTCGATTAGTATACTGGTCAGCAATCATGTTGGTCAGGTCATACTGGTCAGATCATACAAGTCAATAAGCAAATTGGACGATCAACACTACTGTCAATATCCTGACCAGTCAATATGATGGTCAATTAATACGCTGGCCAATCAAAAAATGGACACTCGATATACTGCTTAATTCGTCCTGGTCAGTCAATCTGATGATAAATTATCACACTGGCTGGCAGAAAGTTCAGTTAATATACTGGTTGATAAACAGAACGAACACCATGTTTAATTAACATAATCGATACACTGGTTGACCAATATCCTGCCAATGAACAGAGGGGAAAATAAACATACTGGTCAATCAATATACTGGCCCATGAACAGAATGGTTAATCAGTACACTGGTCAGTTGATAATAAACCGAATGTACACGACGGTCAATCAACATACTCTTCATTTAACCTAATGGTCTGTTGATACACTGCTTAAACATACTGGCCAATACAGAATGATCACAAAGGCCATTCAACAAATGGCCAATCAACAGCTCAATAATCACACTGAAAAATCAAAATACCTGTATATTAATGTACCGGTTAGTGGTCATGCTGATCAGTCAGCACACTGGTCAATCAGCATAATGTCCATACTGTAAAATCAGGTTATGATTAGTGGAAAATCAACCTTGTTGTCAATCGAAATAGTGTTGATGAACATGCTAGGAACTCAAAATAATGGTTAGTCGATACTGGTTAGTCAACATCCTGGTCAATGAACAGAATGGACACAATGGTCAATTGACAAACTGGCTGCTGAACATCCTGGTCAATAACCATACCACAATAATGGTATGTGGGTATACTGGCTAATCAACATACTGCTCAATGATCACACTGATAAATCGATATACTGGTAATCAATATACTAGTCAGCGATCAAACTCTCCTAAGATCAGCACAACGCTACTACGCGTGTTCAAATCCCCGGGCCCTTCAAGAAGCTACAGCGTCCAAAGATTGAGGCGTCAGAGACTTACTACGTTCATAATCACGATACCCCAATTCACCATTCTCAATTACATCATCCCCAATTCACCATCACCAAAAAAATTCATTTCTCAATTACATCATCCCCAATTCACCATCCCAATTCACCATCCCTAATAAAAACTCATTTCTCAATTACACCATCCCCAATTTACCATCCCAATTCACCATCACCAATTCACCATCCCTAATAAAGATTCATTTCTCAAATACACCATCCCCAATTCACCATCCCAATTCACCACCCCTAATAAAAATTCATTTCTCAAATACACCATCCCCAATTTACCATCCCAATTCACCATCACCAATTCACCATCCCCAAAACACATCCCCAAAATCACTATCCCTAATACCATCCCCAATTCATCATCCCTAAAAAAATTCATTACTCAAAACAAATCCCCAAAACACATCCCCAAAACACATCCCCAAAACACATCATCAATTCACCATCCGTAAAAAAATTCATTCCCCAAAACACATCCCCCTTCACAGCCCCCAGCACCTCGCCCCGTCGGAGCCCATCCTTCGGTGGCATTCCGGGCGCGGCCCCGCGCCGATCCTGGCCCCAATCCTGGCCCCGATCCTGGCGCTATTCCTGGCCCCGTACCCCAGGCCGCCCGCGCGCCGAAACTCGCGCGTGCACTTGGCCCTCCGCCCAGATTCTACACCACACGCCTCTTCCGACCCTAGGCCAAATATCCTCCGACACGCCCGACGCACCACTCCAGACCTGCCTGCGCCGCCCGCCTGAGCCGCCTGCCTGCCGGAAGCCTTTGTTTTTCTTCATTCCGCTCCGTCAGACCCGTCCCGCCGGCTATCTCCCAAGCACACTCTGTTCCGGGGCCCCCTGGCACAACCGCCCCTCTCGAGTCGTCACGTTCTTGCACGGTCGCCACCCAAGTCCGCATCTGCTGGATCAATTGGCGCCAGGAAGCACGACTTCTGGAACCCCACCCAGAATCTCCCAGAATTCCACCCCGAATCTCCCAGGGATCCCCCAGAATTCCATCCCAAAATCTCCCCAGATTCCCTCAGAATTCCACCCAGAATCTCCCCAGAATCTCCCAGAATTCCATCCCGGAATCTCCCAGGGATCCCCCAGAATTCCATCCCAAAATCTCCCCAGATTCCCTCAGAATTCCACCCAGAATCTCCCCAGATTCCCCAGAATTCCATCCCGGAATCTCCCAAGGTTTCCCCCGGGATTTTAACCCAGAATCTCCCGGAATCCCAACGTAGATTCCAACCCAGAAT